TTTAGATCATAGTGTGGCTAGTGTTACGTCAGTTCCGCAGGATCAATTGCCAATTTCAGTTCTCTCTGACTGGTAGCTTTTAATTGCAGTTCTTCGAGTCTGGGACGTCCTTCTTTTTGAAGGAAACCGTGTCATGCTCATCAGGACAGCACTCGCTTTAATGGACTTATATGGTACTGGGTAAAGAATGCTGTTTTTTCATTATCACACGACATAATTGCTGCGCCTTTTAAATTTTCCTTTTGCTGTATAAAACTTAATTTTGCTCAGTTGTCAACTTTTTCATGTAGGCCCTGCATTAGTTACGACTAAGGATGCTGGAGATGCAGTTACTTTGTTGCAGTCACTGGCCGGCTCAACATTTGATAGCAGTCAACTTGTACTAACAGCTAGCATGGGTTTCCAAAATGTAAATGAAACACGATTGCGGGAGTTGGGAAATAAGCATCGACCAGCTGTAATGGCCGCACTTGAAGAGAGAACAAAGGGACTTCAAGCTTGGAGGGATACTAAGGGGTTGGCGTCGAAGCTGTATAATTTCAAAAATGATGGTAAATCGATGTTGACAGAAGGAAGAAGGCAAACCAGTGGCGAATTATCTCGTTCAGAGTCTGGATCTACCAATTCAGATGATGTTCTTATCACTCCGACAGAGAATGGAGAGATGGATAGTACTCCAGACCTTCAAGATCAGGTAGCTTATATACTTTTCTTTGGTCTGTAGTTATTCTGACCTAAACCATCTTTATGTTAGGAAGTTCAATAAATAAATTCACTTATGCTGCCGACCTGATGTGAAGTCCATGAAAACCCCTATGTACACTGTTGCTCGTGTTTTAAACCCATGGACGGAGGTCTTGGATGACAGTCATGCAATCATTTGTTTTACCATTTTCTGAGAATGTATCTTCCATATTGTTCTTAAGCAAGATGTACATGCAGGTGACGTGGTTGAAGGTTGAATTGTGCAAGTTACTGGAGGAGAAACGATCTGCTCTATTGAGGTCAGTCAATTTTCTATATCAACATAACACAAATGAATGAACTAGGCCGGGATGACTTCATGAATTCAGGTGTTCCTTGCACAGTTGCACTGTAATTGTAACTTAGTATGTTGACATTTGCATTGTCTGCAACCAACTGAGATGGGAAATATTCGTGATTCTTCATCATGTAGATAGGCTTTAGAGCTTCAGGGGCAATTAGAAAAGGTCACTTACTTTATGCATGTCCCTGTTGGTCTAATGCCCTGCCATAGAAGGTCACCTTTGGCTCTTCGAGAAGTGCAACTAAATCCATAACGTTGACAATGTTTTTCCTTTCTGAAGCAGTTTGAATAACCTATTATGATGATGGCTACGTCACATTATGTTGACATGCCGAGGCTAACATAAGCAAGCCTTTCTTCAACTATAATAAATATATGTCAAACCTAGTTCATGAAGGGTTATTAAAACTTGTTTGTTCAGTTTGAATGGAAGCATTCTATTTTCTCTAGCTGCTTGAGAGCTATGTCTCAATTTTGTCGCTTTCTCGTTCCAAATCCATTTGAATGGCATTCATCTTGTCCCTCTGCTGGCTAACTTTTTCATTTTGGCAATGGTTGTGTGATTTTAAGTTTCTTTTGCAATATACGTACATGTCATATATCTTAATGCTATGGTTTCTTTGTTAGAGCTGATGAATTGGAGACGGCTTTGATGGAGATGGTCAAACAGGACAATCGAAGGCAACTGAGTGCGAGGGTATAAATGACTTTGTTGTTATTTGCTTTCTATATCATTTAATCTTGACATACTGCTAGATTCCTCATTTCTTCGATTTGGCACTAAAATCAATGAACTGAAGAGAATATATGAGAGTGCAGCATAAATCATATTACTTGCTTAATGACTTGTCCATCGTGTGCATGTTAAGCTTTGTTTTAATAATCTGCATGTGATTGAGGATCTGTTGTTTCCTTTCAATAATGTAATCTGTTTATGGGATTTAGGTTGAGCAGTTAGAACAGGACGTCTCAGAGTTGCGGAAGGCTCTGGAGGAGAAGCAGGAGCAAGAAAGTGCCATGATTCAGGTTTGATTTTCTGTGATTACCCAATTATATAATTTTTACTTACCTCTTCGGCCCAGGGCTTTCGGTTGTGGTCTGAAAGTGTGCTTGTTGCTCTTTGAGGTGTTAATGCGAGTGGAGCAAGAGCAAAAAGTAACTGAAGATGCTCGTAGATATGCTGAGCAGGATGCATCAGCTCAAAGATATGCTTGCCAAGTGCTTCAGGTAATACTTGTTCTCTATTGGGTTGCTTGGTTACAGGTGTATGTGGGAGGGTGAAATTCGCTGTAGGATGTGATTGAAGTATTGAACAAATGTGCAGTGTTCCATTGACACTTTGGATCTATTTGATTGGACTTGGAATTGTAATACTGGTGATAGAAAATAGTTGAAAATGCACTCTAGAAAACGGGTTTCACGTTTCTTTTTCAGTTTTCATTTCTTGCAGAGATTTATGACCAACCAATGTAATTGCAAATACATGTCACCTAATGGAGACTAATAATATCAAATTGTACACAAGCCAAACACCTTTAGCTTTTTCATTGGGAAGAAAAAAATGTTTCATACTATCAGTGGTAGTTTTAGATCTTGAAGGGTGATGATTGGCTAAAATCAAAGTTGGATTTGATTATATTTAGCAGAAGCTGAGACGATGCAGATTTGCCCTATATAACTTCCTTGTGTCATGTGTTAGTTCGAGTAATCAATCGCTCGGATTGGCAGATTTAGATGCTGAGCTTGACCTGATTTTTTCTGAATGTCTGCTGTTTTCTACTGCAATTTTGTACTTGGTCTCTTCCAGTGTTGCTACAATTGGTATGCTCTATCCTTGTGCAGGAGAAGTATGAAGAGGCGATGATATCACTTGCTGAAATGGAGAAACGAGTAGTGATGGCAGAATCAATGTTGGAAGCCACATTACAGTACCAGTCTGGCCAACTGAAAACACTGCCGTCTCCCAGGTCTGTCGTTTAGCTCTACCAATCAGATGAATGTTACTGTTGCTTAATGTATTATACATGATACTTTCCTTTGTCGTTGCCCATGATGATTAATGTTCATCTTTGGTAGAGGTCAAAATTCAGAGAAATTGCTACGTAGCAACAGCAACCAAGACCCCGCACAAGAAACGCCTACAAGAAAGTCTGGTTTATTTGGACTTGGCTGGCGTGATAAAAGCAAGGTTCGTTCTCTGTGTTCTTGTTCTTAGGATGCTAGTAAATGTTAGAGAAGATGAAATCAAATGCACATTTGTCACGTCTAGTTTCTCTAAAAGCACGTCTCTTAAAGGCAAAAAGGTTAATGTCGTATATGTTATAGCCCCCACTAAGTTGTTCTTTTATGGGGCAAGGCTACCCTCCAAGGCCCCAAAATAGGGCGAACCATATGATGAATCAAGGGCGTATAATACTGCCGAATGTAGTAGGCCCTGTTTTGGTGGAGCAAGTAGCTTTATTGGAGTAGGTTATAACAAACTTTAAGGTGAATGCTCAGAAAGGTGTTTTAATTAGTCTGTCAGCAGTCAGAACATTAACTTTTGAAATAAGGACTGGTGTTTGGTACCCAAAGTTTGAAAACGATTGCTTGATAAATAACGATTATCATTACTAGAAAGCGTATTTCAATTGGTATCTATGCTAGTCTTGTTTACAATATTGGAAATCCTATTAGTGTTCATTCAGTGAATGCTCCTAACTGATGTTGTGTTTCAACAGGAGAAAGCTGCGAATGCTACTAATGGTGAGGAGGCCGGAGATGGGAAGCCATCGTCTTCCAACGAGGAACAGACATTGGCCAATGATCAAAATGGCTCCCTGGCGGTACAAGACAAAGAGTAGAGATTGAGGCTGTTTCTTACACTAGTTACGAAGTTTGGCGAACATTCATACTGTGTTCTTTTCCAATTAGTCGGGCGACTGGTATTCTTCTTGTGTGAACCGACAACGACGATGGTGAATTCGAGGGGACAGGGGGTGCCCTGAACTGGCCTGCTATTGCTCTTTTCCTCTTCTTTCATTCAGTTCTGCCTCTTTTGTTTCACCAGGGTGTAAGTTTTGACCTTGTCATGTAGAGCACAATATATCCATTTCATTTTTTGATTTTTTAGTCGAGAGTCATCTAATAATGTCTTAGTTATAGTAGTTGCAATAGACTATGTAAGGAACCATCTTATAGTGCAATCAATGTTCATAGCTTGTTTGCTCAAACTTTTCTGCTCAGGGCATGAGTTCTTGCTTTGCCTGCATCATCCTGGCAAGCTCTAAGATTGTTGTTCTTCGCTTTGAACTGACGTCATAATCAAATCATTACGGGGATAAGATGGAAGATGAAGCCACAAACGAAGGCGAGAATGAGAGGAGTCTTTCATGTAACCACAGTATGTGGTATGTCTCTGTATAGAAAGAAGAAAGAAATCTGAACTATAGATACAAAAAGCCCCCCAGAGCTAGGAATTGTACAATGGAGAATTTTGGTCAAAACAGGGCTAGCCAAGGCAAGGCAAATACAGCAGGGATGAATGTTTAAAAAAAAGAGAAAAGAACAGATAATATAGAATAGGAAACCAAAGAGAGTAAAAAAAGGGGGGGAAAGGTAAAAAAGATCCAATTCGATCTCCCATTCATCTTGCTCATTGCACCTCACCTTTGTTTCCCTGAGTAGACACCAAAATTCTTGAACGCAGCAGCCAACCTCTTCTTCTTCTTCTTCTTCTTCCCCAAAAGCTCCTAAAACCAAGTCCTGAATTGCCCACATGAACTCCCTAATCTCCACAAGCATTTTCTTGTCCTTCTTTCATCTATGTCCTTTCACTCCTTGTTTCGAGAGGATTGCATGGTCACAGGTTCACAGCAACCTTACAGGGGAGGGTTGAGGATCCAGATGGTCTGGAAGAAACCATCACCAATTCTCCTTCATTTCCTACCAAACAGAAACAGCCTTTTTACCATCATTCTCTTCTAGCTCTAGGAGTTGAGAGTCCCCCTCCTGTAACAGCACGGGCTGGCTGGCTCTCCGGATCATACTTCTGGGAGGCAAGGTAAGTCAGGGCAGTAACAACATCGGCAATGAGAGGTCTCATGTTCGGCTGCTCTTGAACACACATTGCAGCAACAGCTAGAGCTTGATACAATCCCCTTACTGGGTAATGTCCTTGTAGTGACGGGTCAGCCATCTGTGCGAACTTCCTTCGGTCCTTGAACAACGGTCGAGCCTGCAAAATATCATTAGACAATAATATTTCACTCTCATTAAACTTTTTCAGCATAGACAACACTAATGGCCCTCTATGCCATGTGAATCACTAAAGGGGTTGTTTGGCTGGATAGCAGGTTTCAGAATCCCGGATTCCAAAAAATCTTTGCATTCCAGATCCAAATTTTTTAGAAAAAGGGGATTCTTCATCATGGATGAGTTAGAAGTTCTTGTCTTAGTTGTAAATCCCAACCATAGGACAAGGAACAATCTCCTAAGAAATAAGCATCTGTAATTCACCAAGCGAAAGGGCATGCCTTGAAAGCCTAGTATGCTTTAAGGGATCACATTCCAGTCTAAATAATGATAACCTCATGCCAAAGAACTTCAAGTGGCCATCAAAGCATAAAAGAGTAAGAAAACAACTGAGAGTTGTAGAGAAAGGCAACATAAATCTCACCCAGGCAACCAGGTTATGCTCCCCGGCAGCTCTCGAGTTGTCAATGGCTTTCCTTCCAGTGATAATCTCAAGAAGAACAACGCCAAAGCTGTATACATCTGATTTTAATGTAAGCTGACCTGTCATTGCATACTCTGGCGCGCAGTATCCATAAGTGCCCATCACTCTTGTAGAAACATGCGTCTTGTCACCAACGGGGCCCAATTTCGCCAAACCAAAATCAGACAACTTTGGGTGAAAACTTTCATCAAGCAATATGTTCGAGCATTTCAGATCCCGATATATAACCGGAGGGTTAGCCTTGTCGTGCAGATACTCCAAACCCTTTGCAGCACCAGCTGCGATTTTCATCCTTGTGTTCCAATCGAGTGGCCTTTTATCAGGTGGTAGGTCTGAAAATTGATCATCGTATCAAAAAGGCCAAAATCAGCAAATACAGAGCATATTTTGAACAATACAACATTAAGCAACATTCTGTACTGATGGCGACAATAGTAAAACCCAGATGTGAAATACATAAGAAATGGAAAGAAACTTTGCATCTGAAAGTCACATCAGATACATAGTTCACTTATGGCCTGTCAGCTGGCTAAATTACTAGATAAGCCTGTGCTAGCCCTTTTCACTTGGTATAGCCAGAAATAAGATTTACTTCTTACCATGTAGATGATCTTCCAAAGATCCTAATGGCATGTACTCGTATACCAAGAGTCTCTGGTCTCCATCAGCACAATAGCCAATCAAGTTCACTAGGTTAGGATGATGAAGTAGGCTCAACATCAGTACTTCAACCAAGAATTCCCTGTTTCCTTGCAGGCCATTTCGATCAAGTTGCTTGATAGCGACAACCTACACCAAGAGAAGAATAATTGGTTTGGGCCTTAACTACAAACATCAAATGCTAACTATTATTCTTAACTGTGAATAACATGCACTGCTTTACTTTGAGTGTAAAATAATAAGCTAGAGCTACAAGTAAACATTCAACAATCCGTCTAAAACATGAAAGACAACGGATCAGCTAACCTGATTGGTGCTATCTAATCTTCCTTTATATACCCGCCCGAAACCTCCTTCACCCAGAAGATAATCTGCCCTAAAATTCTTAGTTGCTGCAGCCAACTCACGGAATGTAAATGTATGTGCGGCAATGTGATCCGATCCTCCCTCCTTTGGCCTGGGAATTTCCTTCAACTCTTGGGTGATATTTGTCTTTATTTTATCTACACAAGAGAAATGAATAGTCAAACCCATTGCATCATCTAAACCCTAAAGGTTTATTGAATCATTCAAATAAACATTCATTATCAGTAAGACTTGCAAAAGAAAACAAAGAATCAAAACAGACAAAACTAGCATTCCAGGAGAAATGCTTGGATTACATTCACAATGGGAAAAGACAAGAAATATACAGATCACCATCGTTGGTGTACCACAAAGCATCTTTGTAAGCACCTTCAACTACTCACTGGTGGATGGAATTATTTGTAGTTTCTGATAGACATGTACAAAGAGATAGGTCCTTTGGATCGAGACTTTGCAATTGGCCCTATCCTTCAATCATAACAACACTAGATAAAACAGTGATCCAAAATACATGAATACCAAAAGGCAATAATCCAGTTCCCAACTTGCAAAATTGAAAACCATGTCAAAGAATACCACACCTGGGGAAAAAAGGTAATAGGAAAACAAACACGGAACTGGTTTATCTACCAAACAATCGCCATGAATCCATAGCCAACCACAACAACCAACAAAACCAGATGCTCCCCAGAAATCATCATCATAAAAACAAAGATTTCCAGAGAGCCCGACATGAGCTGAAACTACAAAGAAGTAGAGAAAACATGCATCAACGAACAACATAATTTCCCCCTGAAACCAACCGAACTTCCTAACCCCATTCCAGATCAACAAAATATAAGAATCAAAAAGAAATTATTGACTTAATTTGAGCATTAATTAATCATAACCCAGAAGAGATTAAAGCCTAAAATTGAGGAAAGGACGGGACTTTCTCAATAATTTCGATGATTCACAAGTGTCATAGAAGGAAAGATCAGCTGGCGACAAAACCTTAGGGGGAAAAAACAACGGATTCGTGAAATTGGAGGATATTTTTTTAAAAAGAATATCAGAGTTTCATCAATCTGGAAAAGAAGAGAAAAAATTTCAGCGCTCGATGTTAATCCAGTTAAATTACCTGAAGAAGACGGGATCTGATCATCAAGCTTCTTCTTCTGCTGTTGTTTGGCTTCGTTGATATCATCAGGCTGTTTCCTGTGGAGTTTCTTGGCATTTTTGTTTGCCTTTCCACCACAGATAAACCAGCCCATGACCTGTTCTTCTCTCTTATTTCAAAGGAGGGGGGAAGTATCACTCTTCAGAAAGAAAATGAGAGAGACAGACGGACAGACGGAGAGAGAAAGGCAGAGGAAAAGAAAGGAGAGAGATAGAATTAAGGCGGACCAAACACCTTGGGGCAGAGAGAGAAATGGAAGAGAGAAGGAGAGGGAAAAGGAAAACAAACCCAAAACAAAAGTGTTAAATATAAAATATTTAAATTGTTATCGCCATTGTATTTCAAGTTATACTTTGATGAATTAATAGATATCTACATTTGATTCTATATTTTTTTTTTGACAAGTTTGATTCTATATTATTTGGAAAGTGTGATAATGAAGTTTGATGAACTTCTAAGTTACCAATAATATTATTCTGCTTAGTATGTAGAACACAATGAAATAGAAGAATATATTTTATTTGGATCATCTTTATTGAGAGGATTTGATTCGATTATTCGTTGAGGACATAAATTGATTGGCTCACTCAAATATGATATGAATAAAGAAGGTAGAAAATTGGTTCTTGCTGGAGTTTTGTGGGAAACGATCAAACATAAATACCATGGATAATTAACTAAAACAAAAAATAAGGTGTATTGAGTTTGTTCAATCATAAGAAAGCGATGATGGCATTATAGGTCAGTGCAACCCAACCTCCTATTGTTTTTAGAGATCGAATAGACTCTAATGTGTGACTTCATAGTGAAACTAAACCCGTCATTTGGTTGCTAAAAAAAAAAAAAACTAAACCCGTCATTTGGATTAGGTATCTCCAAGACCACCTTTAAAGGGTCATTTGCAAGAGCGTGAACCAAAACCTGACCATATGAGAGGACTATGTAGATAGATCCATATTTTAAGTTAATTGTAAACTTTGTAGAGTATTCTTGTTTATCTTCAATGAGAATATACCAAAGGATACTACTAACCAATTAATCAACACAATAATATTAGCCGTTATCGAAAAGTCATTGATTGATTATATCAAATCTTCAAAGTGGGATTGCTAGGCTGCGGAACAAAGTCAAAACAGGATTCACAAGATGGGTAATCGGTTACCTGGTTTAGGTTTAGCAACCACGAGATGTTAATTATAAATAGCTCATAAGTTCTTGTGATTTAGCCCTATTAACCGAGTCCATAGATGGGAATTGAGTGACTACAGTATGTTAACAATTTTTTTAATCAAGGACGACCACCGAGACGAGGTAATTTACCCCCAATTTCAGCCCATCAACCTACTTTCGAATTTTGTTTTAAAAAAACCTACTTACGAGATCAAATCACACACTCCCAACCAATCCACCGGTGTACCAAATTCTCAGTTTACCCAGAAAATCCATTGAAGCTTTTCGAGTTTTAGTCAGCAGAAATGGACAGTCGAGCTCGGAATTTGCTAGATGAAGCCCTAGGGCTGGACCAGCTGGCCCAATCGAAGCCGCCTCTGGGCGGAAAAGCAGTTCTGATCGAGGACTGCGTAGAGACGAGCGGCTCCTTCGTCCTCCACCAGCTCATCAAGCGCCTCCATACGGCAGTTCCCAATTCTTCCAATGTCGTCCTCTTCCTCGCCTTCGCCAACCCCTTCTCCCACTACGATCGCATTCTCCGAAAACTCGTACCGACCCTCTTCTCTCTATCGCTCTGTTTATGCTTCCGTTTCCGAAAGGTTTAGAATTTTGGCTACCTCGGTTTGAATTTAGCGATTTTTTTTCGTTTGTTAGGGCTGCAACTTAGGTGCTCAGAGAGAGAAAGGAAGGTTCATTTTCGTTGACATGCTTAATGTTGAGTGCCCAGGTGAGAAAAGATGTAGTCTTTTAAATTTCCCTAGCTTTTTCCGGCAATTGAATGTTGATGATTTCGTGCCATTGCTGAACAGTAGGAGAAGAAGGAAAAGCTGGTGGTAGAAGTGGATTGTTTGCCTTGTTCGCAAACATCACTAAAGTCTTGAATGCCTTGCCTGAAAGTAACAGGAAGTGTCTCACTATCGTGATAGATGATGTTTCTCTAATGGAGGTGGCTGCACATGGATCTTCGGATCATGTTCTGGACTTCCTTCACTATTGCCATACTCTAACATCAGATTATGTAAGTACATACATGGTATTTGTGTTCCGATGCTTTAAAATACGAGGGTTGTTGCTCGTTGGTTGAACTTGAAGCATCCGTTCTTGTGCTGCAGGGATGCTCGTTGGTGACACTTAATCATGAGGACATCTATTCGAGCATGGACGGGCTGGTGTTTCTGAAACAGATGGAGTATGCTGCAGATGTTTTGGTAAAGGTGGAACCTTTAGCCACTGGTTTGGCAGCTGATGTCCATGGCCAGGTAAACTTCTTCGTGGAGCTTTTCTTTTGGAGATGGAGCCTTGCTATCTTCAGCAGCGCGTTTCCAGTCTAGATTTCATTGTTTTTGTTCATGGTTTTCACTTTTCACAACAAGCTGCTCAAATCTGAAAATCCTAGCTTATTTTGATGGACTGCAGATGACTGTGTTGAACAGAGGAAGCTTGAATAACAGGATGAGCAATTTCCAGTTCCGGATCAAGGAAAACAGTGTCGAGTACTTCTATCCAGGAGCTCGAGCTTGAAAGAGCCATAGGTCATTTGTGTGTAGGAGCTAGAACCTTATCACTGCGAGACAGTTTTTAAGCTTGCAGGAGTAGATGGAACATATTCCCATGGAGGAAAACCCCCACCAGAACGATAGATGATAGGATTCATTCGTATCAGATTGTTTGATTAGTAATCTTGTGCCGTTATGCCTGCTGTTATTGTCCTGTTTATGTTGGTAAGGAGATGTGTACAGTCAACTTCCTCCCTGGTTTTACTCTCAGTAATTTTTTGGCTTAGTCAAGATGTACATAAAAACAGAATTCAATTAGGATGATAACAAGACAGAGGAAAGCCAGCAAATAGAAAGAATAATCTTGGAGAACAACAGTCTGCTGCTGTGCCTGTACTCATTGAAGAATTGAAGTAGTTGGTACAATCCTAAGATGGCATTGCCTCATTCATCCCTCTGGGATTTCTTTAATCCCTAATATGAAGTTTCTACAACCAAACAAATACACCCAAAATTGAAAGGCTGTGACACCTTCGTCTGAAATACAAACGAAATACAAATCAGTATATCGAGCTTAGCTAGCTAGGCCATGCGTCAAGAGTCAAAACGTGGGGAGGTTCTTTACTTCCCCTAGTGATAAAAATCTTGCATACGGTTTAGCTTGGCCTGGATTATTTCACGCGACTGTTCTATATCTTTAATTTTTGTATGCACGGGAGCTCCTTCGTGCAAAGAATGACCTAACATAAAATGGTGGGATATGCTACAACTCATGCTGCTGCAGAGCGTTTAACTTCATGGTCTTCGAGATTCAGTGCTTCAAGCAGCTTCGGCCATGATTCTGGGATCCCTCCTGGAAGACTGAACTCCAACAACTTCCCACGACTTCGGTAAAATTCCTCCAAGGGCCGACTCTGGATCAAGAAACAAACAGCTTGAGGTTAGCGAGACTAGATGACATATTGACAATACATTGTGCTCAAGATGAAGAACAAGCCATGTTTGAGTAATGCAAGACAATGGATATTAATAAGGGGTATTCAGCTATTGCATTTACCTGAACAGTTTTAGTTTAACAAGGATGTATACATTGATGGGAGATTCACCATGAGATAAAAAGCAAGTGGAAATGGAAACTAATAGCTCCTCGTTCGGCATAACCAGTTAACCATATCTTATGGTATTGAATGTGAAACAAAAAGATAACTAGTCTAGTTCCCGCGCCATTCAGATAATGGGAAAACGAAAGGAAATTAGACCAGGCACAATTATGAGCATATCACACATTAACCAGCCATATAAGAAGAATTATTGCTACATCAAACAAACAAAAAGGAGAGTACTAAATGAGAAAGGGAAGTGAAAAATACCATCTCATTATAAATTTCTAGTCGAGCCTTGACAACTTCTTCAGTATCATCGGCACGTTGGATAAGTTTGTCTGCGCACTGTGGAGGTGGCGGAAGAGGAGCCATATAGATGCCAGGTCCACCATTATCCGCCTTGATGTCAATGCAAGCAATGTTGTAGTTTCCCCCACACTGGCTGCAGATCCTACGGCCAAGGCATTTTGCAAGGAGAGCTTCTTCCCGAAGCTGAAGGTTCACAACCAAATCAATTTCTGTGACTCCTTCCAATATTTCCTGTCATATGATCACGAGATAAAGCATCAGATTTGGTTATTCATGTCAAGGCCAAATGTCTATGTGTGTTTGGTTCAGTGTAAGTGTAAAAGGATGTTACTTGAAGTGTATTTACATAAACGCTGTTTGGATAAGTGCATTGGTTAAAGTTGTGAAGAAAACTGAGAGAAAAGACACCCCTTTTCTAGAGTGCAATTACACATACTTCCCACCACATATATTTGAGGTCCCATCATTCATATGCACTTGTGACTACATGTAGATAACATAAACACTCAAATTCAGAAGTGTTGCAGAAAGATTATATATTTGTTACGCAGATGAAGATGCAGTTTAAAAAATAGTTATGTAGATTGTAGACCTTCAAAGAAGCAACTTGTAGCTCCTTGTGAGTGCTAACGAAGGAGTAGGAGATTCTAGTCAGTGCTAAAGAGGTCTAGAGCATGCAAGTCTAAATCCAGAGTTATTATTAGTAAATAGCAATACAAGTGCCTTACCGCTTGTCTAATAGTTCGAGGAAAGCCATCAAGAATGAAACCGGATTCTCCCTTAGCTTCCCCTGCTTCAAGACGTTTGGATAGCAAGTTTATTATGATTTCATCAGAAACCAGTTTGCCTTGATTCACGATCTCCTTGAGCTGCATGATACCAAAGAAGGACAAAATTTGTTAACGCGCTCTGTTTTCTCATTAGATCAGAACACAATTTGGGGGGGAAAACTAAAAGAGCAGAAAATAACCTGAGAGGCGAGAGGACCGGTGGAATTGAGCTCTTCGCGGACGAGATCTCCGGTGGCGATGTGGGGGACGCCGAGGAGATTGGACAATCGAGATGCGTAAGTTCCCTTCCCGACGCCAGGGCAGCCGAGGAACACCCACTGGACGTTCCTGTCCTTGGGGTCTTGAGGCAAGGGTGAATTCCGAGATAGGAAAGACGACGGAGGAGATCTGGCGATGTCGGGCTCGGGATTGTACGCCGAGGAAGAAGAGGCGGAGAAATTCCGTGAGCTGACGAAGGAGGTGAAGGCTCTGGAAACGGCTGTCGATTGCGCTGATGAGGACTTGGACATTCGGAGAAGAGCAGCAGCAGCCATGGCGGAACCGTGGGGAAGATAAAAACAATTTCCTGTGTTCCGGCGTTTGGTTGCAGAGAAAAACAGGAAAATTTAGAATGACTAATTGATTTGTTTTCAGAGGCGAGCCTTCGTAAGTAGTAGGGTTTGTGTCGTTCGTCTACTTTCTGCGGGGTGAGAGGGAAAAGCACGTGCACGCCACGACGCTTTTTTTCCACTTGTAATAAATTATTTTTATTATTACAATTTTAATTCAATGTATATTCTGGGAAAAATAGATTATTGTTTTCTTGCTTAGATTGTGGTCAAGTTGGTTGTCGAGACAACCGGCCTGTAAAATTACACGTCGTCACACAAAGCATGACATGACAGCTTCTCTTGATGCAAGAAGGTTCTTGATATAGAAGTAGAACACCATTAAACAAAACGTGTTTGTCGTTTGTTTGTTTGCAAAAGAGCAAATGAATGATTGAACTCTAATGATACTTGATGATTTTGGAGCAAGGAAAAAAGGTGTGTAAATCAACGTCTTGGATAAGAGACATATAACCATGTATTGAATTGATCGAAACTTATTTTTAGGACGTTAGACTTAAATTTCGTATCTAAACTCGAGCTCCCTACCTCTTATCTTTACTTCGAACTCTTGGCCTCAGGACTGGACGCTGAACCTAGACCTCTACCTAGGTGAAGCATGTGTCCAACCCCAGCCTCTCCTTAATTGCTCTCAGGATGTGTGCTCAAATTATGTGTCACATCCTCAAATTATGTGTCATATGATACACTAACTGCTATTAACCTTGCTCATGCGCTTATGACCCTCATATCAACTCTACCGACATCGACACATTGTTCGACGAACAACTATAAGAGGTCAATGAAAATACGAGCAAAAGTAAACCAAATCATGTATTTTATCCAATTCTCATTTTTGCTTAGAATATTGAAGAATGCCTCACCAAAAATAAACGTATTCGTAGGACATTCAAATGGAAAGTTGGAAATTGAAGTCATCGATTGCCATCATTGATTCTTTTTGTAATAAAATTTATCCAATTAAAAGTCTTAGGCAATGATCAAATTCGAGAAAGAACCCATGGAATAAACTCGAGGAATATGCTAAAAAGTGTCGGGGAGCACCTTGTCAACAATCGTCATATAAAAAGTCCACATTGATAACGTCAAATACAAAAGGACCGGCGTGGCCACTGCCAACAAATCACCATCTGAATGTATACATAATATGTATTATTTTTAGCTGATTCATTTCAATTTTCCATTTCTTACATTTTCCCCTTCCCAAATCTTGTCCTTCAACTGCTGGTTAAAAAGGAAACGAGAAGAAAATCCCCTTTCAACATTGCTAATTCCCTATACTACACTGAAGAATAACGGTAAAAAAGAAGGGTTTGTCCTTCTCTATTTCTCTCGTGAAAGATGGGATGGTTAGATGCCATCCTCATGAGATTCTGGCGCCGAGGAAGAAGACGATACGACCCCCTTGCCTTTGCTGTCCGACGACGATGTCGCCGCAGAGTCTGTTGACACCATCTTTTCCACCTCTGATTCGGGCTGCTCCAGAAATTGGAGCTGGCTCTGCAGCACCTGAAAGCCCATGAAAATGAATCGACCATATGATTATATACCAAAGAGGAGGCTTAATCAGAACAGCAATGAAAGAGAAGAGGGGGCTTGCCTCGATCTGGCTTTGCAGAAACTTTCTCTGTGCTTCCATCTCGGAGCTTGACAGCCCTCCCAAGTCGCTGAGCCTGTCTCTTACATTCACATTACTACCACCTGCTGCTTGAAATGGGACGAACATGACTGGGGAGCCTTGAGGCAGAGAAGGCATGTTCGAAGGCCCGGCATGGAATTGAAATTGGGCATGGGATTGTCCATCCACACCTACTTCTCCTCCCGCTGCTGAAATGTTGCTGGCTGAAGGTCTCTCTCCCTCAGGAAATAGGGCATACCCAGGAGACCTACATACAGAATGCACAAAAAGTGAGTTGCTTCACTACACAAACAAAGGCTAAAGTACAAGATCTTTCTCTATATGCTAGATGGATGAATGTGTTTGCACTAGACAGAGTTCAGGGGATCAAAAGCTCGGCTTTCCAAAATCAAAATGCTTCTATCAGACTGTCTGACATGGTATATGGTGTAATGTACTCACGTGAGCCATCAAACATTGGCTTTTTTGTCCACCCAGAACCAACCATTTTAGGTAAATGGACAATTAAACTGTTCCTTTTCACGGATTTTCTCTGTGAATAGAAGTCGTACCAGACTAGAGTGTTTGGAGAAGGATAAACAAAGGATCTTTCGTATACAGCTGCGGCGGCAGCAGCTGCTTGGAGTCTTGCCTGATGTCGGCTCAAACCATCATCAGCACCATCACCAGCCGAACCTTGTGCAGAAGCACTACCAGTGTTTGCAGCTGAAAATTCGACATTTTCCAACAGATGAGAAATTGTGCCCAGCTAAAACAGCAGTAATGAGAATGAAAAAATGGCCAAGCCAGTCGGTACTATACTATCAAACAATTTTGAGCAAGCTATTTTTCTGCTGGGAGAAATTGCATGAAGTTACAAACTGCAACAGAAAATAATTGGAATTCAGTATCCACAGTGCAGTGTGATCAAAGATAAACAAGAAAACTATACTTATAACCAAAGACGAATCCAAATACCACATGGTAGCTACAGGCTAGCCCTATACCTCTTAAGCAACGCAACATTATTGGTTACAAGCAATAGCCAGAAAATACATAGTAGAAACTTGAAACTAGAGATTAACAAGGAATTCACTATAAAACTGAGAAACATAATTCACCAGCTGCAAGCCATCAAGAAAGCGCATAAAAGAACTAACATGGTGCACATAAACATCTTACAGTTTTGATTAGTGTTTGACCACGACCCAGGTTGCCCACCAGATGTACTTGCACCATTTTCAGGCGGTACAACCAACGCTCTGCATGTAGGACAGGTATGCTGGCGCTCCAACCAAGAACGGAGACAATGAACATGGAAAAGATGTCCACAAATTAACTTTTTGGCAGTAGTCATCTCTTCACGGCAAATAATGCAGGTAGCATCACTTCTGTAATACATAAGAAATAACCAATTACAACAAATTGATGCTGAAATCGTAAGACCGGATACACTATCAAGTACAACTTACGCGTTAATCTCTTCAGGTGTTGCATCTGGAAACCTATCATTCATATTTGAAGCTATCTTTCTGTAACGAAGGTAATCAGCAACACGAATTTTGAAATTCCTAAACGTCTCATAAAGTTCTCGAATCAGGTGCAGGGGCACGCCATAGTTCCTGCACAAAAGTGAAACGTAAGCATATAGAATGGACCAGGAGCACCAAAGAATATGGAATATAAATTACACAATTGTTCCTTTCCCATGTTCCTCCTGTTTTCAGTTCCAGGATAAAATGGGCACACAAATCAACCTAACCCAGACATTTCTTTTCAAATAGCTGAGGGAACAGTTAACTGCAACACATTTACTCTTTTCCTAACTTGGATAAGCTAAAGGTTCTGTCCAATTTCTTTAGAATAGCAATTCGATATTATAGGGGGGAAAACTTATAGAGTATGCAGGAAATGCCAAACAACCATGTGAAGTTATCATAACTTAGAATGATACCTATGCTCTATCAGTCTATCCGGATTCCAGAAATAATCATCTACCACTTCTGTTTGCCATCCGTTCAGTTGTTCTTAAGACTAACATACAACCCCCGGGGCTCAGGAAACCACACAAACCCCAAAAGAACAACAGAAATCATAAACTGGCAGGAGCATCAGAGTCTCCAAGATAATGATATATACACCATCAACGCATTAGCATAAGGTAAACACACTGAAACAGTAGGTGTGAGTACTTACATGAAGATCACAAGAAAGAAGCATAGATACATCGACAGATGAAGTAAGTCTCGGATAAGTTCCAAGTAGAAGGTGTAAACAGCCTTTCTTTCCCATTGTCCTTCCATAAGCATGTCACTCACATAGAAGACGTATTTTACAAATGTAGACACTGTAGTGGTTGCCAGAATCATATACCTAAAACGTAGAACAATTACTGCATTAGTGAAAAGAGAATGCTTGATAAAAAAGGGGGATAGCCAGACTATTTTCTTTCGTACCAAAACAAAACCATAAACGCAACCAATCAATCTGAGCATGGATTCATCAAAATGGATGGGGTTGACTTACTCGAACGCGAAGAATAGAGAAACTGAAGCTTGTCGAGTGTCTATCAAATACTTTATAGAGCTGTACAGGAACAAACTGTCTACAAACAGAAGAAACCCAAGAAATGACACTATCCGAACTTGAGACCTCATCGGCACAGATGGTGTTGTTTCAATGTACTCAACTCTCTTTTGAGCCAACCAATGCAAAGCCTTCACTAATAGCAAGGCTGTAACCATAGCGAGGAATCCCACTGAAAAATCCTGCCTGAAGATTGTGATTGCAAAGAGGATTTCCATAACTTCCCTCCACGATTGCTCATTCAACCTCTCCACTTCAGCTTCCCGGAGTGTACCAAGGAAGACCTTCTTGGTTAGTTGCCACAAAATACACATCATTACTAGTCCCATGTTTAGAAGAAGCACCAAACTGATCTTGGAGGTGGATAAATACACCATAGCTGGATAAAACTGGCCTCTTGTGCTGAATGCATGATATATAACCGCCAGGGCGGCAACCAGACTAAGGCTGGCATATGTCCGCAACTGCATCATCTCTTCTTCAACCTGAGGGTATGTAAGGACACCAATTCAACCAAACAAGCAGGGGGAAAAAAGAAGCCATTGACCAATCCACAATTTGCAAAAAAAAAAGCATTGATGCACTGCAGGATTTTGGGATGCTAACTCTCGAAGTGAGAAAGGGAAGAGGAAGATCACCTAAGTTTTCAGCCCTTCCAGAAATTTGCTGGGAATTGGTGAAGTTCCGCAGTAGAATGAACCAGTCTCCACGATTAGGGTTGAAAGCAAGGTTGGGCTTGGTTTTTCTACGAAGGCTCTTTTGCCCTGCTATCTTCTCCGCCAGAACCCCATGCTTGCCAGAGTAGATGAAGTTGTCGGAGACGGGGGACTGAAACTAGCTGCTGATAGAAACAAAGACTACGCAGAAGATGATGAGATTAGTACGATGACGATCAAAATCAGCCCCGATTGCAGATCTGAAAGAAATTCTTTCAACAGAAAAATTGGCGATCAGGAAGAAAGGGGAAAAAAATAGAGAAGGAGATGCGAGGAAGAGGAAGAGGGGATTAATGAGATATGATGAAAGCGGAGATCAACGAAGGAGGAGGAAGGAAGAGACGTTCTTGATTGTTGTTCGAACGAGCCGAACCAAAAAAAAGAGAGGTAGAAACTGAGCAATGAGAGCCACGTGTCAAATTCTAATTTGTTGAGAGTAGCAAAATGACGTAGTAGAGCCGTCCCAGTGAACTTTTTTTTTTTTTTTTAAAGTCACCAGTGAACCTTTTTCTGACAAGAGTTAGGATCCGAGTCACGAAAAATTCGTTCAATGTTGAATTAAGTTATGTTCAATTCGCATAACTTTTGAGTCAACTTGATTAGGTGGTTTGTTAGTATGAACTTGTGAGTTAGTTCGTTGTGAGCTATTAGCTGGCTCGATAATATGATTCGAGCCACTTCGATCAACAATTTATTATTAGCTTATCATAAGTTTGTTGATAATTCATAAGTTTGTTATATTATTATCTCACCATATATGATGTTAAGAATTTGGACACGCGATGAGATATATCTCATTTATAACTTAAAAGATAAATAGCGGCGGATCCAGAACACAGAAGCGCACTGGGCCGAGTTTCATTAGAAAATTGAATAGTAAAAAAATATAATGATTATAATTTTTTTCAATGTAAATTGTACACGGCGATATTTTAATTTAGTGATGCATCAACAATGGAGCCTACATCCATACCAATAGTATACATTGTTTCAAATAAAATACTTGAGCAATCAGCAAGAAATCCATCGCTCATTTTGTTGAGCAAATCAATTCTCACATATTTCATTGTTGAAAAGGTTCTCTTCGTAGTAGCTGTTGAAACGAGCAGCATTAACACTAGACAAATCAATCGATTAATCAATTGGCATTGTGTGTCAATCCCTGCATCCACCAACTGCTCTAATAAGTTTTCAAGGGAACAAACCTCATATTTCTTTTAGTGTTTTACGTTTTAAACTTTTAGATTTATATGCATAATCTTTGGGTCTAAAATTTAAAGGCTAAATTTAGAGTAGTGATTTGAATATGGTCATCTGAATCATTTTTCTAGTTATACCTAATTTTATTATAAAATCACACTAAGCCGAATGCCTAAAATCAAAAAATTCATAAGGACTATACTAACTACAGATCCAGAGGAGGGCTGGGCCGGGGCCCGGGGTGGCCACCCCCTGGATCCGCCACTGAAGATAAATTATGTATTATGGATTGTTCAAGTACTAATTACTATTACACAACATTATATATATATATGAACGATTAAAAAACATGAACTAAATGATATGGTAGTTAGCTCGAACCGGTCTCACAAGCTAATTGATGAACCGAGCTCCACTAGAGATCATGAACTCAATAATGAGTCGAGATCGTGTCAAACACAAGCTAAGCTCCCGTTTAATATCGTTTGTTGTTGTGAATATTGCAACAGGATTGTCACACCTCTACTGCAACCACAACAATAAGGAAATAGATATCAAAAACATGTTTAGTTCTTATTTTCGGAAAATCATGAAATTAACCAATAACATAAACGCGTTTAATTACTTCTAATAATAATATAAAACTAGAAAACGATGGACATCTTTTTAATATAAAGTATTGTCTCTGTAATAAATAATAATACTATATATCAATCATGTTCCTTACAACTTTGTATAAAACTTTCATGTTCCTTACAAAAAATCATCAGTTTTGATAATCATGCAAAATTTAATATGCAATTTCATCTCGCTTCTCATTCAATTAAGCTTTAGTATAATCTCTACCAAATTTGTTCTTCGCACCGGATGTAATGTTAACACATCACAATGCTAAACAGGTACTAGTTATATGATTCCCCTTTCTTTACTTCTTCACACATGAGATCAATAAAAACTGACTCCACAACATCACCTCATATATCTTCACCACATCTTTCCCAATTTCCACACACTCAACATCATACTTCTGGATGTTTTTCTCCACATCACTAGACAAAAAACACAATTAATCTACTTTGCACAAATCTGCCCACAAACAAATTGAGGATTAGGAGAACAATAACAAGGCTTTGTGTCACTTTGGACACATGTCATCGCAAAAGGATTTTCTGGATTTAGACTGCTCTTTACATATATAGTCTTAAATAAGCTTATTTATTAATTTTATGGTACGATTAGGATGCTCGAAGTTTTATGATTAAATTAAATGACTAACTAACATTAGGACATTGCATTACTTAATCCAACTTAACAACTACCGCGAACTCGATATCCATCAAGTAGTACTGGAGCTAGTAAATAAATAAAAATGATTCATTGTAGTCAATAACAACTTAGATGTATATTTACAACATTTCAAGTGTTTAACATTCACATCCTAGCTGGCTATTACATTATACGGTCACCATAATAATACAATCCCTTATATATAGGCTCCTTGTATATATTTCATATTTGTTTCGCCTTATAATAACAATCAATATCAATCCCAATTAACCGACCTATTACTGCAAACCCTAGCATCCTTATAAACCTTCCCAGGCCTACAGAAATACCCTTTACTAGGCGCACAATGCCTATCTTCCGAACAGACACACAACCCTTCCAAACCACACCCATCCCTCACAATCATCAACCCACTTTTCAACCCAAGAACCTGGTCCGTCCACTCGCTCGAAAACAACCCCAACGGATCATACTTCTCCTTCACCTTCAAAAACTCCTTCCCATGTCGATACTTCTTCATCGCCCCGTCGAACGCCACGTTACGATTCTTCCCCCAATGCGGCAACGCCCCATACTTGAACACCGCCATCTGCTCTATCTCCTCCAGAACGTCCTCGAACATTCGCGGCGATGTGGGGTCCTTGCTTCTGTAGTACGTTAGGTCGAAGTCCAGCCCGTTTTCTTGTTTCCCAAGGTAGGCGGACGAAGGGGCTACATAACGCATGAGTATGCCGTTGTACTGGTCCAAAACGCATAGAGACTTTGGGTCCATGGCGACGAGTGATTGGACGTCGTGGATGAAGTCCTTGACGACGGATAGGTTGATGCTGAAGGTGGTTTGGTGGAAGAACTCGCCTTTGATCCTCGAGTCCCATGGGCAGGCAGTGGTTAGACCGTCGTTTGGGCTGTCGAGGCAGGTTCCCGAGGCTTGGAGGCGGTTGTGGTAGCCGGTTACCGGGTACCCAGAAAAGGTCAGACCATTGTTGGTTAGACCAAAGCCGGCTGAGTGAAGTGCCGATGTACGAAGCTTGCCGCTCAGGCATTTCCCGTTTGCGTCCTTGGTGGATTCTTGAGTTTCCTCTGCTCGAACGTGATTAAGGTTGGTTAATGTTGGATTAGTTTCTTAATTGGAAGTATAAGCGGGACGGACTAACCAGCGGATCTGAGGACGGCCAACGCGAAGGAGAGAGTGGAGCGGAAAGGGATGAAGTCGTATTTGCCATTGCCTGAAGTGTTGGAAGGAACGCGATCGTCGATTCTGTAGATGGCTTTGCCTTGACTGGGGAACCATGACAAGTCGGCGAACTCGTGTTTGCTTCCAAAGGTGACGACTTCATCGCCGAGATCCTTGTCGTCTTTCTTCACGTAGTTCAGGGATCGCTTGAACAAGGGTTGCAGTTTGAATGTCACCTGTTCATCATGTTCATAATTACCCAATTCATGAATATGGTTAATAAATAAATCATAGTGTATCATATTCTGGTTTGATCTCTTTTGGTTAATGATCCAATCCTTTTTTTGTGGTTAATCCTTGCCGTGTTGCACTTTTGATATGGTAAAAGGCAACCTGCACGTTTAGCTTTACTAGATTACTAAAAATATATATGATGCAGACTCTTAGCCAAGGTGATGGTGAAAATATGCAGTAATTGGTGCAAATGTTTTAGCAGAGGAAGATTAAGAAAGTTCAATAAGTCCAAAAGCGATTAGTTGGTGATGGACATATATATATATATATATATATATATATATATATGCAAATGCGATGAACGAAGACAGAAAGCCATTAAATTGTGTGGGGAGAAATGGTTAATTACCTTCTCTAAAAGTTACTAAAGAGAGAATGTGTAAGTACCTAGCTAAGTGGATTCACCAACTTTTCCCCTTTTCCCGGCCTATTTAGTATTTACTTCTTCGTTCTTTTACGGGAAATTTATTCTACTATCTAGCTTTGCTATATTTAGATGAGAATATGGTAGGTAGGATTTCAATGCTAATGTGGGAGTCTCGTGCAATTGGAAATTGGAATATCCAAATTTTATTGACGTAGAGGAAAGTTTGCGTTCAATATAATGATGGGTGCAAGCCATGTTTCATTTTTTTATTGTTGTTTGTTTATTATTTCTCTTGTTTCTCAAAATACAAAGTGTTTTCCTAATAGTCTAAGCGAATCCTACATTAACGCGAAAGATATACATGATTCATGAATAAGAAACCAACTTTAACTAACAAAATATTCATTCTAGCATTTTCTCCCATTTTCGAAAATAATAATTTTTATCGTCACCTTAACTAGAACAAATTAATTGATTAACTATAACCCTATCTCCCACTATCTATTGTGAAATTAATATAAATCGTCAATAATTCTCCTATTAATCTTTAAGAGATAATATCTCAGAGGTTTAATCGTGGATCATATACCGTTTACTAACACACCCCTTCAAATTCAACCACTAAGATGGCTTAGAGTTTGCATAAGCACAGGTCCGGACACCATGTGTTTAACAGGAACATAAATAAAAACATGTGGGGTCATCGGGATTCGAACAGAAAACCTCTGAGGTCACAGAAGGTTCTGATATCATATCAAATTTCAATTGATCCCAATAACTCGAGTTGTTGGTAGATGTTCAATCCTGAATCACCGTTTACTAACAATAATCAAACTCAAAAGTGTTATATATGTTTTTCCATACCTTGTAAATAACCCCAAGAACGCCGAGCGACACCTTGGCCGCATTGAGCTCACCATCGCCCTCCGTCAACCTCCTAACCTTCACATAACCGTCGGCCGCCGTCCCAGGGCTCACCACCGTCACCTCCGCCACGTAATCATGCACGGCGCTTCCTTCCCCCCACAGAGAACTCCCGTGGGCCCCAGTGCCCAGCATCCCTCCCACCGTCAGACCCCACCAGTACGGCGCGTAAGGCAGCGCCATCCCCGCCTCCGCCGCCGTCTCTATCAGCTGCCGCAGCGTCACCCCACTCTCCACGGTCACCGTCATCACCTCCTTGTCGACGGCGAGAACCCGGTTCAGAAACTTGGTGCTTATCAACAGCCCGTCGTCGCCGTCGGGGCAGACCAGCTTGGGGATGCTGTGGGAGAAGCGGGTGGCGACTTTCATCTTCCGCCGCGCCCTCGTCCCCTCGGCCACCGCAGCGACGAGCTCCTCCTCCGTCGTGGGGTATGTTGCGCTGGATGCGCGACACGTGGACCTGTCGGGGAAGGCGCCGTAGGAGTTGGTGATGGTGCAGTTGGTGTTGTTGGCGGCGGCGGATGAATTAGAGCAGTGGATCGGATCCTCTGGAGGAGTGCAGGTCGACGGAGAGATTATCATGAGGAACATCATCATCGTGATCATGGGAATAGGTGAGGTGGTGATCATAATTGCCATATTGGCGATGGTGGATCGGAGGAGAAACGTAATATGGTATATGTTTGGTGGTGGTGGAAAGATATATAGACAGGCGGCAGATGTATATATATCAAGTGCTTTTTCGTTACTTTATCTATTTGTTTATGTGATGATGATGATGATGATGATTGTGTCTTGTTGTCCACTACGGAATGTGGGACGTTTTGTGGCTTCTAAGTCCAGCATATATAAGACACGTACATGTATATACCTAAAGATTGGTACTCCTGAAATATACCGTCTCGAGCGATTACGGTGGGAGAGGAACATGCAGTGGCCGGCGCATAAGCTCATATCCATTAATGGAGGGAGCATATATAGCAGAACACATGATGCCACTTTGCAGTCATTCGCGCGTTTACAAGAAAGATGAGTGGTGAGATGATCTCTTGTCTTGTGAATAGACGGTATAGGCAGGCACCATTATGTTTCTTTGGATTAATGAGTCATATATAGAGAATTTAATTTTGACAACCTTGATCCAAATGAACCCTTAATTTCCCAAATCAATTTTCAAATCCTTAACACAAACTTTCGAGTTTGTCTACTAAATATAAACAAATAAATCCATCGAACTCTAATTGTGCATGGCATATAAACACATAAAATAAGCAAACATAAGATCTCATGAAAATCACACAATCTAGTTAATAGCAAAGATTCAAAAATCGCATATCCATCAAACTCTAATTTGTGCATCGCCGTACTGTAGAGTTTGTCAGGGAAAAATGGGTAAAGTAGGGGTGGTTTTCATGGATGAATTGCAAAACGATAAAATTTGGTTAATTGTTTTCATTTAAAAAAAAAGAGCCCATTCAAATTATCTATATTATCCCGTACAATTTTAACTGCTGTAAAAACAAGTCAATTCGTAATTTTCATAATCAAATTGTTTCATCCAAATTTTATGCTCCCAAATAGGTCAATCTAGCACAATTTTCTCAAACGAGACAATTGAGACTAATTGATCCATTAGAATTCCTCATCAAAACGACCCTTAATAAGCTGTTTAGCTGTTGCTGTAGGTCCCTAATCCATCCTGCGTGCGTGGGGGTGGCAAATGGATTGAATTCATGAATTGGTGGATTGGATCCAATGAATTGGTAGATTCGTGAATTGGATCAAATTAATTGGTGAATTGATCCATGTATCCCAATGACATCTAAACCTTAAATCATTACGTAAATTTTGAAAAGATTAGGTACTAAACTGTCATGAATTTACATACAAATTACCACCACTAAGAGTAGGTTCATTCGTGATCAACTTGAGGAACAACCTACCACGCCGGCCGGTGGACATTTAAATCCGCCGTTACTGCATGCACAGGGGTGGACTGGACAAAACGTCACCAAAACCAACTATACGGATATCCAAACTGAACACATACAATATACAACACTGCGAGATGATCATGAAATTCACTTTACACATGTATCATGGATTCATGATGCAACATTTATGTAGAATTTGCCTAAAAATAATCCAACTTATTAATTCCCACCCCGCAAATGAAACTTAACATACCAATAGAGGTGAGAATTAGGATCCAAATCCATGAATCCAATCCAATCCATCCATCAAATTATCCACCTAATCCAATCCATTTGATCCAAATCCAATTGGATTGGTGGATTCATGGATCAATCCATGGATCCAAATGATAAATTACGATTTAGTACCTATATTTTTTATATTTTACATTTTGGTACCTAAAATTTATATTTGTATACGAAAAATATCATTGGAAAATTAAATTTTGGTACCTAAAATTTTTCATTATGACATTTTAGTACCAAAACTTTTCAAATTTTACATTTTGGTCCAAGCCTTGGATGTCATTTGGATTCATGGATCAATCCACCAATCCATTTGATCCAATCCATGAATCCACCAATCCATTTGATCCATGAATCCACCAATCCAATCTACGAATCCGATCCAATTGCCACCTCTACATACCAAACATCAAATTTATTTTTAACAACTTTTCGAAAAGGCCCACCATTTAAACGCCAGTGAGTGATGGCTCCAAATACTCAATGGAGGAGGTGATGTCTGAAGGAAGACTGAAGGGGACTGGATTTTTTTTTTTTCTGCATCATTCCAAAAACATGTGCGACACATCAACTCTGAGTCTCTGACCCCATTCCATTAACGCCGCTCTCCCATGAATCCATTCCCAACCTTCCCTTCTTTTCTCTACCCAATAAAACATTTGACGTTTGATCACTCTCCGTTAATTTCCATCAACTCCCGTTAAAAATGCAGCTTCCTTTTAACTTTTTGTCACCATCCTAGTCACATGTGTGCTATACAATTGTATGCTGGACTTACAAGCCCACAAACGTCCATATTCCGTCAAGAAGAAAACAAGACATATATATATATATATATTATATTTATGGAGTGATCATCCCTTAAAATAAAATAAGTGAAAAACACTCCACATATGCATACAGCTAGCACACCAAATAATAATACCATAAAACAACTCCAATCCAAGTTGCTCCTCCGCCCCCAAGCTGCCACAACAATCGCAATTAGGGCAATTTCCATGATCACGATCATTACACGATGATGATTATCTTCCTCATAATAATCTCACCGTCGACCTGCACTCCTCCGGAGGATCCGATCCGCTGCTCTAATAATTCTTCCGCCACCTGCACCATCACCAACTCCTACGGCGCCTTCCCCGATAGGTCCACGTGTCGCACATCCAAAGCTCATCTCCGCGGTGGCCGAGGAAAATTCCTAATTAATTATCTCCCCGGACTTCAATACAATTTTGATTAATCATAAAAAAAAATTAACAGGTGCATTATTACGTTTTAAGTCCGAATTAATTAACAACATAATTGTATAGGTCCCATTGTCTTCATCCCCTAGCTAGCTAGCTAGAAGAATTCCCATATGGTTGGGTATACTTAATTTATTCGCATGTGGTTTGCATGTTGTCTTTTTCTTGAACTAGATAAGGTTGATAGTTCATAACGGCCATTTTCTTTGCTCTTGTTGGGGAATAACACACAATAAAACATGGGTACGCTTGGATGCGCACTTGCAGTAGCACGCATCAATATGCCCTAGAAAACATATTAGGAGTGTACTTTATATAATATATTAATATATAAATAAACATTTAACATATATAATTAGAAAATTCGAGCAATAGCTGATTAATAAGTATGATAAATATTTCCAATGTGATGTTTATGAATTCGGTTCAAGAGAAAGATTTAAATTTCCATTTACTTAAAAAATGAATGATTTGTTAATTATTTTTGTAATTTGTATGTATGTTTAATTATGACCTGGGCTATGATCATACGCAGGTGACATTCAAATTGCAACCCTTGTTCAAACGATCCCGAACTTTACGTGGAGAAAGATGACAGTGACTTCGGAGATGAGGCTGTTACTTTTGGAAGCAAACACGAGTTTGCTGACTTGGCATGGTTGCCCAGTCAATGCAAAGCCATCTACAGATTCGACGACCGCGTCCCTTCCACTACTTCAGGAAACGGCTTCTACGATTCCATCCCCTTTCGTTCTACACTCTCTTTCGTCTTGGCCGTCGCTAGATCCGCCGGTTAGTCTCTCCACCCATATATACTTTCACCACCTCACACTTTCAACGACCAAACTTACTTACCAAATGCATTCCACAGAGGAAACTCAAGAATTCACCAACGACGCTTACGGGAAATGCCTGAGCGGCATGCTCCTTACATCGGTCCTTCACTCCGTCGGCTTCGGTCTAACCAACAACGGTCTAAACTTTACCGATTACCCAGTAATCGGCTACCACAACCGCCTCCAAGCCTCGGGAACCTGTCTCGACAACCCAAACGACGGTCTAACCACTGCCTGCCCGTGGGACTCGAGGATAAAAGGCGAGTTCTTCCACCAAACCACTTTTAGTATCAACCTATCCGTCGTTAAAGACTTCATCCACGACGTCCAGTCACTCGTTGCTCTAGACCCAAAGTCTTTGTGTGTTCTTAAGACCAGTACAACGGCATCTTGATGCGCTACGTGGCGCCTTGTACCGCTTACCTTTGGAAACAAGAAAACGGGCTGGACTTCGACCTAACTTACTATAGAAGCAAGGACCCTACATCACCAAGAATGTTCGAGGACGTTTTGGAGGAGATCGAGCAGATGGCGGTGTTCAGGTACGGGGCGTTGCCGCATTGGGGAAGAATCCAAACGTGGCGTTTTATGGGGCGATGAGGAAGTATCGACGTGGGAAGTAATTTTTGAAGGTGAAGGAGAAGTATGATCCATTGGGTTTGTTTTCGAGCAAGTGGACAGACCAGGTTCTTGGGTTGAAAGGTGGGTTGATGATTGTGAGGGATGGGTGTGGATTGGAAGGTTTATGTGTTTGTTCGGAAGATAAGCATTGTGCGCCCGGTAAAGGGTATTTTTGTAGGCCTGGGAAGGTTTATACAGATGCTAGGGTTTGCAGTAACAGGTTGGTTAGTTGGGATTGATATTGATTATTATTATTATTATAAGGTGAAACAAATATGTAATAGATACAAAGGAATGTATTAAATTGATTAATAAATGGCTTGAGGCAAGTAATTAGAGAGTGGATTTCAACTTTCAAGTAGTCTTTTCTCATAACTTTATTCCAAAGATTTTGTTGAAGTTAAATTTCAAGTTGCTTTCTACTTTAGTTATTGTTTTATAATTAATCTATTCAAAATCATTTTTATTCTTTTCAATTTTTAAATTTTATTTGTAAAATCTTGAGTGTTGAGAGGGGAAAAATTCCCAACTCCTACCTCGCAGATCTCTCTAACCTCTGTTGCATCCTCCAATTGTTAGCGTTGGGCCGGTGATATCCTCATTCCCTTTCAAACTTTTACGTAGAAACCTTCTGCCACTATTCCACATTCCAAATTTGGCAACCTTTAGTTAGTGTTGACTTTACCTCTTGCACCCGAAAGATGCGAAATGACATTTTCATATAATAACTTAATCAAGAACAATTTTCATAATATATAATTTTTTCGAGATCCACCACTGATTTCAAATGGCATATATCTTCCAACAAAATTGTACTATTCATCAAACTACTTGTGTTTATACTTCACGGAAGAATGATATTGTTGGAAAAAAGCCACATCTTCTTGCTGTCACAAGAACTTTACTATTTCAAGCTAATCTTCCTAGTCATTTTTGGGATGTTGTTGTTATGCATGCAACACATATAATCAACATATCTCTCATCCCTTTATTAGCCAACAAAAATGTTTTTCAAAAGATTTATCGGTCAACCACCTGTTATCGGTCATACACAATTCGAGCAACCAATGGGATAAATTCTTATGACAAGAATGGAAGAAACAAAGATTTGTTAGTCCTTAATCAGACTGGCAGTATAGACTCGTGCATCAATCGAGAAAATTATGGGTTTGTATCACCAATTACTAGCATAAAAGAAACCGAGTATTTTGATAGAAGGGGTATAAATTATAATTAGTAGGTTATCACCGCCAATTCGATGTTAAAATGGCATATCGATTGGCAGGTCTAGCAGTAAATTTACGAGTTTAGTTTGCCAATTTAATAATTTTGAATGTCATTTTCGTGCATGACGAGAATAAAAAAAGATTGGAAGAGAGAAAAAAAGAGGTTCATATACACAAGAAAATACACTTCTGAAAATGTTCTTGAGTGGTTGATAGCTTAGAACACAGTTATACACCATTTAAGATCCTACTGCAGCTAGAATATAATCCATTACAAGTAACTCTCTCCCGTTTTATCTTCTCCATTGGAATCATGTCTCTTCTTGTATTTATAATATGAACTAAATCCTAGTTATTCAGATTGGTGGAACATCAGTTTTTTCTCGCGATTTCAGACTACGAAGTAATGTATTTGTTTTAGTTTTTAGAATGATTCTCCTATCATGTGTTTGTTTCTCATTTTCTCTAAATCTGAGTTGCAAACCTTATGTTTAAATGTTGTTGAGTGTGATATTGACTATAAATGGCTTCTCACACCTTTCGATCACCAAGCACAAGATTTCCTAATTACTCAAGAGAGAATTATATAATAATCAAGTGTGTTTAACTATAACCTTCATTAGAAATATGACAGGTTAGAATAAGTTATAATAACGCAATCACCAGTTGAGATCATGTTTCGTATTTCCATAGTTTCACCTTTTATTGTGTTGAATTGCTTTGAAAAAACAAAATGGCACCTCAACTACAACTTTTATGCGAACGACTACATATCTGAACTAGTTGATTGAAGCCCCCAAAGAATACACTCTGAGAAGGTTTTAATATTTTTTGGGTTAATCTGTGACCATGCACTACGAATATCAAGTAACAAAGGATACTAAATTGTCAATGAGTAAAATAATATTTTCTTACTCCAATTACTTATTTCCAATTAAAATTGGATGGTTTGAAAGTGGGGGTTTCTTTGGGTTTACTTTTCCACTAAGTAAGAGAGTATGAAGGTGGATATGTAGAGAAGGGTCATTGTAAGGCATATAATGACAAATAAAAGACTAAAAGCTCTCTATGTTTTGAGTCTTGTAATTGTCAGAAGGAGCCTCCTTAAAGATTAGCAATAGAAGTGATTAGCTCTAACCCCCCCCCCCCCCCTCCCAATATTCATGTGTTTGAAAAGAAGAACAGAGAAAAGATTAGCAAAGAGAAGTGAATTAGTTCTATTTCCCCCTCGACCTTATTCAATCAATTTATTTAGTAGTTTAATCTTGGTTAAAAAGATTGAGTAGTAGAAAGGGTAGTGATGGACTCTGTAAGAGATAGAGTGTGTCAGACACAAACATTGGGGGAACTGTTGAGTTTCTCAACATTAGAATGTGAACCAAACACGTCTTTAACACACCTCCTTTGAATTTTGCGTGTATATTTTTAATTAGAATACTAGCTAACATCATATTGAAACTATTGATTATGTAATTCCTTCATATACGTTGGTGTAATTATATGTTATTAGAAAATTCATGGCCGCTAACCCGAGAACTATCATAATTTGATCAATCACCTATTGGGAGAGATTTATCACATAAGAAGTGTCATGTTTATCGATGGATGACAATATACTTACGCAACTGTTTATTTGATCATGTATATGATAATTATTCATTCTTCAATTATCTCTAACTTACATTTTTGTAAAGCATGCATACTAAATAAATAATTATTTTTAAATATAATTGCAATCCACCGTCTACTTTTTTCATTATTATCTTCGATCTTTAAATATTCATCTAAGAATATCATAACACATGTTAATATCTATTAAATCCTTGAGAATAGAATGAAACATGCAGATTGTAGTGACTTTAGTAGCGGTGAGTTTATATACTTTATAGTCTTAGTGTGCTTTAGTAGTTAGTACAAAAATTAATATGTCAATTGCACATATGGTTAGGAGACTCTACCAACACTTGATTGAGTTTTGATGGAATAAAAATTTGTATTAAAAAGAATAATCAAACTAACTAGAAAATATAAGATGTTATGTTCTTTTTGTTAGCTAACTAATTAATCAATAAATTTTATTGCAAATAAAATTCTGAACACAATTATTCATACATGCATGAGTGCATGACATATAGTTATGAATGTAAATTTTTTATTAAGAAAAGATAATACACATTAAGGATAAAGATTACAAAGTTTAGTTGTAAGAAAATATACTTATGAAAATTGAATGTTGACTTTATTTTAATAAGATTCAGAAATTAATATTTTTTTAAATATTTATTAGTTCTAGTTATCCATTGAAATATTATAAGTGAAGTAGTTATTTTGATGCAAGAGAAAATAAGAGATATTTTTGCATGCTACTAAAATGTGGATATGCAATATGAGAGAATCTCAATTCCTGAAATTGTAGGTAAGTAACAAATTGTCTTTCTATTCACTTTATTTCTCATTCAGTTTCTTTACATCATTATAACATATCTTTTATAATAATCCTGAAACAACACGAGAAACTGTAATTCGGTAGTCTTTAATTGACACTATGATTATCATCTAATTAAAAATTTGTATGTTTATATGGTTACATCGTTAACTTGCAACACAGTGTCTGTTCTAAACATTGGAGGATGCAGATGGTATACTCGCACTTAGCGACACATCAAAGTCTTCTTGGGCTATATGTTTCAACAACAAATAATTAATCTTTTTTGTAATCTTCTTATAATATGGAATTCGAAAACTGGTGCACAACAAAGATAGGAATAGCCAAATGGAGTAACAATGTTGGCCCTATTTTCCATCGAGCTCATTATCCGGCTCTTAACAAACTTATTTGTGTATGAACTCCGACTAACTTTTGATAGATAATATTGTCCTTATACAATGTCGCATAAGGATGATCAATAAGATCATCAAGTATTTCAATATATAACCCAGTCAACTTGACTGCAACTCCAAGGGAACACCTCTTCCCGACTCGAACCATTCACTTAGTTGGTAAAAAATCTCTCAAACACAAATTGTGCGCGATTAATAGCCAACTTACTTGAAGCAGTCACTTAAAAAGAAATAATTATGAAAACACAAAACTTCAACAAAAATTGGTGTGCAGCCAGGAAACTCTCATATAAAGGATAAGCGACATCTAATTCATTAGTACAATAATCACGCATTTATTTGTCCATCAAACTACTTATTAAATGCTCAATGTTGGCGCGACCTTTGGAACTTGGAAGTACTTGAATCATGTCCCGACAGAATTGGTGCGGAGGTAAGGATGTTCAAGAAAATAATTACGTCGTAGGTTTTTCAAAATAAATATAAGCTGTTACTTTTAGATATGGATCATCCAAATCAACAGGGTATTGCGTATTTCTTGATATACTCAATCTCTCTGAGTGCTACACACAGAAAATACACATGAAATGAAGATCTCATTAGTTGAGAATATGATGAAGCAACAAGTTTAAGAGAAATAGAAATAAAACAACAAAAAATAAAGTTGAGAGCATTTACTGATAATTTTATATTGTTATAGATATTTGTATTTTAGGACATTCTCACAATATTAGGCTTTTCTCATATTTTCTTTTTTGGTGAAATATCCCATGTATTATTTACTTTCTCATTCATGTTTCTATCTTATTTTTCTTTGTCTTTATTTTTTGATAAATCAATTACATATCACTTGTTCTTTTTTACTATTAAATAAATCATGCAAATTTCATTCTTATTTTAATGAAAAAATGAATATTTCATGTTCTCATCACTAAATAAATTTCTATTCGTCATACAAAATTTAATCTATACACTTCTCTAACAGTAAAAATAAAATCTATGCATTTTTCTATTACCAAAGCATTTTCCTATTGTTTGTTTGGTTTTTTTTATTTGTCACTAATAATCCATAAAATTAGGAAAACATATAAAACTGACTAACTGTACAAAACATATAAAACTGTACATCATAAAAATTTACAAATAAGTCTGGCATTATATACAAAGAATACTGGCCATAAAAACACCAAAACTAACAATATAAGCTCATATGACCTACATTATATACAAGAAGCTCAACAAACAACTGGTGTTGTTCTTCAAGATTTGTGTTAGTGTCCTGTAATGTGGGGTTGTGCATCAAGAGGGAGAATGATTGTAGGTTACTAAATGTTGGAAAGTATTGTTGAGAGTTTATAACTGCTATTTTAGATTTCATTTGGCAAGGATTTGAACGGGACTATATTGTTTTGTATGGAAGATATGCATATTTCGGACAATTGATTTTCATTTTGCATTAGGGTTGTTGCCATATGTTGACTATTTAGGCGTGTTGCTGACTATTCATTTTCCATTAAGAAAACAATCCAAGAAATATCAAGTACACAAAGAATAACATAAAATATACAAATTAATATTATAAAATATACTAATCATATAATAAAATTCTAAAAAATATACTAACATTATATACAAAGATTACTAACGCTAACAACCAGCAAGACTTGCATTATAAACACTTATTTCTCTCTCTATTGTTTTGCTAAATTGATTTATCCGTTGTAATCGTCAAACTCGCTGGTGACGAAATCCAAGACTATTATTAAAGCGCGCAAAAGAAATATGTATTAGCAGTGCACAAAAGGTGGATCAGTTGCGATTGTAGCTGGGTTGCAGAAAAGCTATTTTGCTGCCCCAACTGGATGACAAAAAATCTCGAGACGAGTTTGATAGAAATCCAATTTCTTTTAAATTGGAAATCTTAATATAATGTGAAAACACAAAAGTTAACCCCCATTAAGTTCATTAAGTTGCCCACCATTTGATTAAAATTATCACAACTTTATTCCAAAGATTTTGTTAAAAGTTAAATTTCAAGTTGCTTTCTACTTTAGTTATTGTTTTATAATTAATCTATTCAAAATCATTTTTGTTCTTTTCAATTTTTAAATTTTATTTGTTAAATCTTGAGTGTTGAGTGTTGAGAGGGGAAAAATTCCCAACTCCTACCTCGCAGATCTCTCTAACTTCTGTTGCATCCTCCAATTGTTAGCGTTGTGCCGGTGATATCCTCATTCCCTTTCAAACTTTTAAGTTGAAACCTTCTGCCACTATTCCACATTCACATTCCAGAGCCCCCTAGCAAAGAAGATAAAGTCGTCAGCAAAAAAGAGGTGTGAGGTGCCCAGAGCCCCCTAGCTGCCGAAATCCCATGCAGCTTTTTTTTTACTATCAACGAGGGATCTACAGCATGACAAGCCATCCGCTACTAGTAGAAAAAGGTATGGCGACAGGGGGGTCACCCTGCCTCAATTCCCTACTCGGCCCAAACGTCTATTACCTATGACCGTTCACCAGAACCACATATGACATTGACTTGACACACAACATAATCAGTCTAATCCACCTTGCTGCAAAACCCAACCGCTCAATTACTCCTTCCAAGAACCACCAGTCTACCCTGTCAAAACCTCTTTATATAATTGGTTACAAATATTCTTTTGAGCAAGTATAAAACATAGTTGATATTACAATAAATTAATTAATATAAATGTCGTAAAATGTCGTGTATGCACGAGATTACTTAATCAGAGTAACGACCGGAATCAAAGCTAGTATACCTTAAGGAAAACACACAAAACAAAAGCCCCAATATTGTTGCAGCCGATAAAACCATGCAAGAATCTAGCTATAGCTGCATGTCCTTAACACCATTCACCAGCTGTTCACACATGGAGGATCCAGTGCAAAGGTAAGGCAGTTCATGCCAATCCATCCCCGCATTCTCCATCTGCTCCCTCACCTCCTGCATTAATGCAAAGACGACATTAAGAATATTCCCATTCACCTGGCCTCCATCACAGACAACCAACCATCCGTCTATAGACAAACAAACCACCAAAACCTATGTACATGATGGTATGCATGACCGGTGGCGGACTCAGAAATTTTATATAGGGGTGTCCTCTTTCAAAAAATAAATAATATTAAATAATGCTTAAATAAGAAAATAGTCAACTCGTACAAGTTAAAAAAAGTTCTTAAGTATTTTCATATTCTGACAAAATTGTAAAATACACTTGGTGTCTACAGTGCTCAACAAAGTTGTCTCGGTATATCCTACTAGACAATCATTCACGAACAAATGCATATTCGACTTCTAAATTTGTTCTTGGTGTAACTCAAAGCTGAAAAGACACTTTCAACACTTGTCGTACACCCATAAATTAAGGGTAACTTGTAATTAGATTAATTGTTAGGTTTTGAAAATAATTAAAGATAGAGACTAGGGTTTTTGAAGGAACTAGGATTCTGCGGTAACTTGTGATTAATGTAGCCAGATAAATTAGAAAGAGATTTAGGAATTGAGAGAAATAATTAGGGATTTTGAGAACAATAATTGGGAAATTGAGATAGGAAGAATAGAATTGGGAATTAGGGATTAGGAGAAGAAGAGGGATAAACTGAATAGGGTTTGAGTACTGATTTCTGACCAAATCCAACGCAATGACTCAAATACATATTTATAGGGAAATAAGCCCAAAAAACCTAATGATACCCTACTAATCTACTTGGCACTAATCGGCTGCCTAACCCCCTAACCACCCCAATATTTATGTTTCCTGCAATTTTGCTATTACACAGTGTTTAGAATAGAACCACAAAAAATTTTGTAGCCTAATGAAAATTATATTTATTAATAATAGTAGTGTCCCAGGTTTGAATTACCCAAACTACCACTTATATTCCCATTCGCAAACTACAAACAAGAGTAGTATAATGATTTTTTTCAAATTTTAGTGTGTCCCGGACTATTAATTATAATTTTTTTCTATACGTAAATTACCACTGGAAGTTGGATAATCGTTTTTTCAAAATTTAGGGGTGTCCAAACCTCCCTGGGTCCGCCCCTGTGCATGACCTAATATAATTTAGTGATCTTTCATATCTTTTCTTCTTAGGATGACAGCAGTTCATTCATTTTACTCGGGGAGAGAGGTGCAATAAAAGAAACATACATGGATGTAAAATTTCATGAATCCTTCCGCTCGCATTTGCTCAAAAACGAATTCTAGATTAGGTTGCTCATCTTTGACTTCAATTTCCAGCCACTGCCACATTGCATACAAAAAAAGTTGAGTTATGCTGATAGAAGACGTACACTGATGCATCATAAGGCCAAACTTCAAGACAAATACCAACAAGTGCATTATATTACCTCATGTGGAGGGGTGTTACGAAGCTCTGGGCATCCTTCTACTCCAAAACAGCAGGCACGAGTACATGAGCAAGTGGAATCGATGTAAATCAACAAGGACAAAATCAATCCTAGGTGAACAGCAAGCACAAGTGCACAAACGTACATAATAACATACCAAATTTCCTCCAGTAATGCGCTTTTGCTTGTAAGGTCAGTCGTCTAGTGTAATATCTGAAGAACTTTGAGTAGAATGTGAAGATACAAACATGCTCCGGCTTTGGCTGGGGCTGGGGCTGGGGCTTCTGGTTCCCAATTACAGTCAAATCGTAAGTACAAGTATCGTCAGAAAATAGATATAAAAAGAACAGGGCTCAGCGGAGAGCAGTATTGAGCAACAAATACTACTACATACTCTTCTGTGTTCAGTGCCAGAGCATCCCAGCACCAGATGAGGGAACATTAGCCTTTCGAGCTTGGTCAGTGAGGAATCAATGAACACACAACGGAACGCTTCTTGCTTGCTATGTGGTTGCTTCATGTAGCAGAAAAGTAGATCCAACATAGGCAGATCTACTCTTGTAACCTGCAAAAAAGTAAGATCGAATGATCAGAAACATAAAGAAAAACACAAGGAATAGTCATGATTTACATTGTATTCAATCTAACTAACACCAATTAACATACCTGAGCAGTAGCAAAGAAACAGCAAATGATTATCGTGTCCACGTGCAGATTGCAAAACAACGCTGTGCGTACAATAAGTACATTGCGAAATATCCTCCAACAGATATCTACCTGAAAATTCCTGTGCACCTTCCCCAACGCTTTAGCCATGCCATGGATTCTACCATAAGCTAACTTTTCAATCTACACACAGCCAAAACGGGATGTCACCATGAATGTGTCGGCCAGCAAAACACAAGTGCACAATATCCCAGCATTCACCACCAAAAAAAAGAAACATGTTTTCCATTACCTTTTCCAAGAATGAAGAGATAGCTACATGTGCACACCTACGATGCTCTTCTAAAGGACAGGGATCTCTTGGCCTGTACACACACCATACTGAAGAAAACCTTAGACAAGAAAAAACAAGCCAGCAATGTGAACCAGTTCGTAATCTAAGTAGCAAAAGTACCGAGCAAATGCGCAATGCAAACTAGCAGGTAGCATCACTGATTGAACATGATCCACTGATCTTGATGTATGAAATTCTTGTTCCGCTACCTCGCTCCTCAAGTTAATGCATGGACCTGAAAAATGTCATTATTGTTTCTGACGTTTGAAAGTAAGATCTCATAAGCTACGAAGTCAGAAGCAGTTACCATGACAAGTTTTGTGCTTCAAGACAGAAGACAAACGCATACGTGCCACAATTGCATCCAAGGAAAAGTTTATATATGACGGTCTCCCTATGGCACGGAGACGCTCAATCTCTGAAACATGCATAGCACTTGCAACTTGGAGAGAATCGTACATCAACGAACCTTCTTCCCAAACGGTACTCTCGAAAAGTCGTTCTCTCAGTGATTCCAAATGCATCCTCAGCTCCCAAGGCATAGAATTCTCGTGCCTAAGAAAACACTGTACCGCCTCGACAAGTTCAAAGGCTGTAATATCACTTTGCTCCAGAATTGCAGGAAACAACAACATTTTCGCAGTCTTACGTGCTGCTAATACCAGTTCAGCTGAACAAGCAAGCATGCATTTGTGGAACCTCGTCTTGGTTAATAATGAGGTCAAATTGGCTCCATACACAGTACACATTGCTTCCAAAACCTTATAATATATCTTGAGCACCTCCTGTCTTCGTTGTGCTAGCCATATGTAGTCGACTGTGTTTGTACTCCGGAAACTTCTAAGAACACCCTCCTCTACCACAGCATTACATGGCAATAAAGCTTCTAACACTGAAAGAGCATTTTTTACGACGGGAAATCCATCGCAAGACTGCATCAATTCTGCAGAAGGCTCACTTGACAGTGTAGATACCACATTCCGGAGCCAGTTCGCAGTTGTAATTACCGTTTTCACACATGTAGCAGGCATCAGTTGGATTTGAGCAAAACAGTTGTCTACCTCGTCAAGAAAAGCTCTCTCATCCAATTGGCCCTCTTTACACATTTCACGATCATAATCGATCTCCAGCCTAATCAGACTCTTCCACAGAGATGATTCTTCCAATAAATCTTCAAAATATATTAGACCATCTGCATGAATGAAAATAAAATTTCCATAAAAAAATTTATACCCTTCTTTCTTTGGATGGGATGTAAAACAAACAGGACATTTTACTGAAAGGAGAACCAATGGTTTCAAATTATCATAATTCCCCGCGCAAGGGAAAAAAGTAACAGCACTTTGTGAACTGGAAGCATAGCACAAAACGGGGGAACGTATCATGTTAGGATTACAAAGTCACAAAAGGTAAAAGTACCAGTTTTCATATCAACTAGGGTCTCACTATCACAATCAGAAGCACGCCGAGGTCTTTTCAGCAGGACTTCTCTTACTATAGTAACGGTCTTCTCCATTGAATTTAGCAGGTCCTCTTCGGAAGTATCATACCGTTTGGAAAGAGATGCAATCAAATCAACACGTTTGTCATCTTTCACAACTGCTAACAGACATTAGAAGCATATCAAACTATAGATAAAAGAGGCCCCAAAACAATAAGGTCGGTGCAAAATAAAAGGAGATCTGAAAGAGACACGCAGGCAGGACCAAGATTATTACCAAACCACTCGTCTTTTTTGAAACTGAAAGTTCGGAAGTTAGCTGGCACATGCATAATCAGAATGACCTGATAAAATATTCATTACCAAGTAAGAAAGATGAATGACAGGAAGACTCTGGAATTCATTGAGATAAGCTATGAGATGCAAAAGAAGAACTGAACTTCAGGCATCTAGAGAAAGATGAATGACTAACCAGTATAGAGATCAAACCATTTATGCAGGTCACCAGGTCCATGGAATGACCAAATGCATGAGTACGGAGTGCCAGAAATAGGAACCACCCAAAACGATTATAGTCTGAAGCACCTTGGCTACCGTGAGAAGCTGCCGGCTGGTTATTGCTAGTTGGATCCACAGCTGAGAAGAGCTCCCAATAAGCTTCTTTGTAGTGCCTTTCACACGAAAATCGCAAACAAAAACTTATGAAAACGAAATATGCACAAAGATGATACAGGTGTACAACAAAATATCCATGCACAGCCAAAGTGACAATATTACAAGATTTACTATGTGAATGCTGAATAAAATGGAAACGAAAAATCCAAAATGAACCACCAAAAAAGTGAACAGTTGAGGAACCAGCACAGTGACATTAAAATAACTGTCTTGGAAGTACTAAGAGAAGAATTTTATTCCACTGCACACTACAAGCAAGAATTAGGAAAATCACGGACACTTAGAGCAAGAAAGAAACCCACCGGCTTAAAATGTTTAGGTGCAAATAGTTTGTATACAATTCCTTTGCCTGGTAGAAACAGGAAAAGAGAAAAACTCAAGTAAGGCAGAGAAAATACTGATTACTCTAAACGAGGGTGGTCACTGGTCAATATACAGCCACATAATTTTCCAACAGCACCTTGAGCTTTTTCTCCCAGCCAGCACGATACAGATCACTCATGGCACGCCCAGCTTTGAGGACCATGATTGGTAGCTCTTTAAGGAAAACTTCAACTCTGGAGATGCAGAGAGCAATCAAACAGGAGTTAGAGGACTGTAACATTCTTAGAAAAGAATCACCCTGATAGAGCTTCTTCGGGTTTGAGAACGCACCGCAGGTCAGCAGATCTTAGTATTTGGTTCAAAGTAAGCCCTTCCTTCCTAGCAGAAGTGTGCATCTTACTAAGCATGCCAACAGATTTATCAAGCCTCACAGCCGAGTATAACGCAAATGCAAACCAGAGTCTAGTTGTTTCATCTACCTACGAGAAACAAAAAACATTAATGACGTACATCAGTTTATATGAATCCAGACTATTATTAGTGCAGATGTCCCAGAATTTTAACCAGGCAAGGATTCTCCGAAGGTTTGTGATTCCCAATCTCAGCACAAGAGGCAAAGAAGAGGGGAAGGTTTGTTGATGAATAGATGAAACTATTCACTCGCCGATAAATCTTCAGGCAAACAGCTTGAACGATGGGATCCAACGATAATGTTTCCTGTCAAGTTCGCGATTTCAATACATCACCCGGTCCAAACAAAATAAAAATACTAATACTAATAAACAATGATTGTCCAGTTCAGTACAGCTGCCAATACACAGAACAGAAATGTTAAATACCTTGCTTAACTTGATAAATTGGTCTTCATCGTCTTTGTTTCGACTTCTAATGACTGCATTGGCGCTTGAAATCTTCAAGCGCTTCAGGTCTCGTACTGCTCGCTCTGCTTGAGGGCGTGAAACCTTCAACCGTGTCATTCCTCGACTCATCAAGTCTGCTTTGGTGCAGGAAGACTGCAGCTCAAACCGAAGCCAGCGGAATCTGTCACGAGTCACGACAGATAGAGATAATAATTCCTCGTGAAAAGCACCTACGTTTCTCCAAATCGAATGATCGATGTTTTTTCCTCCATTGGGTTGTGTTCCATCTTCCTTACTCGTTTATATAAGGTTGTTTATCCTTATTCTTCTCGGTCAGAGTCTGGTCTCAACTGCCCAGGTTTATTTAGTGGTTTTTTTTTTACAGTTATTTAGTGGTCATTCATTGGGAACTTTTTCTTACGCTATGAGAAGCTAAGCTACCCAATAAATAAAAGTCAAATGAGAAAATTTGAAACCCCATTTACAATTTCCTGCTTTCAAAGATAAAGTAGAAAAAGAGTATATTCGTCTTCACAGTCATTTATTATTTTCTTATTTACAGAAAAAATACATCGGTAATAAAATTTGAACCATAGTCTCTTCGAACAAAAATAAGAAACATGACCAGATATAATAAACACATTTGTGTGATCATTTTCAATTAAAAACATACAGGAACTTTTGGGTGAATATAGGGCACATGTGTCTTTAATTAAGAGAGGGGTAAATATAGAAAAGTTGAGTGGTGTTGGTTTGCTAAACGCGGATGGAAAAGATACTACTAATGTAAACGGGCCCAAATATTGTCCCGACCCACTAAATGCTCAACCGTCGTCGTCTCTACAAACTTCCCATCAGATTCAACAACCGTCTAACCTCCTCTGCCTTTATTGTTACGTCAGAGCAATTTTTGGAGGGGTAAATATGGAAAGATTGAGTGTTGTTGGTTTGTCCAACGCTGATGGAAAATGCTTTACTAATGTAAACGGTTTCAAATAGTGTCTGGCCCACTAAACGCTCAACCATCCGGGTTACTTTCGCTACACCTAATATAATAGTGAAATGGGAAAGGTGCTTCCCACATTACAAAATCTTTGCATCCGTAGCAAAAATAGGAAGGGTAGATTCGTCTTCACATTCATTTATTACTTTCTTATTTACAGGAAAAATATGTAAGTGATGAGATTTGAATATCTCTTTGAGAAAAGACAAGAAACATAACCAGTCACACTAATTAAACAAATTTGTTTAAACTTTTTAAATTAAAAACATACTGGAAGCTTAAATCTGAAAAATCATAGGAAATTTCCATCACAGTTAGCTAAGCCACTAACTCTCCCCTAAATATTTTTTTGGTATTTGATACTTCTATTTTCATACTTTGATTATTTTAATTTGAGATTAATAATTAATTCCATTTCTATTTATCTTATAAAAGGAGAATAATTTTAAAATCGCAAGCCTAATGTCATTGGTGCAAATATTGCACATCGAATTACAGTATTGAATGTGTAGAAGCGATGCAAAATTCTTGACATAGACTTAAATAATATAACTAGCATAAAGCAACAGTATTTTTGAACATAGAAGTTTTGAGTGAATATGGGGCACATGTGTCTTTAAGAGAGGGGTAAATATGGAAAGGTTGAGTAATGTTGGTTTGTCGAATGCAGATTGAAAAGGCACAACTAATGCAAACGGGTCTAAATGGTGTCCCGACCTACTAAATGCTCAACCATCACAGTCTCTCTAAACCTTCACATCAGCTCGACAACCGCCTAATCTCCTCCACCTATATTGTTACGCAAAGCAATTTCCGGAGGGGTAAATATGGAAAGGATGAGTGTTCTTGCTTGGAGAGTTGACTGGTGGGTTATGTAGCTTCTTTGATAGTAATGTGTGATCTCTTAACATATTCATTTGGTTGATCTTCTAGGTTGACTTTTGAGTTGATTAAAGATAAATAGTGTCCCGGCCTCCCGACCTATTAAACGCTCAACCATCGCAGTCTCTCCAAACCTTTCGATAGGACTCGACAACCGCCTAACCTCCTCCACCTATATTGTTACGCAAAGCAATTTTCTGAGGGGTAAATATGAAAAGGTTGAGTGTTCTTGCTTGGAGAGTTGACTGATGAGTTATTTAGTTTCTTTGACATTAATATGTGATCTCTTAACATCAGTTCATTTAGTTGATCTTCTAGGTTGACTTTTGAGTTTATTAAATATAAATAGCTTTTTTTTGCTTTTGTTATGATACTCCTTTTCATTATCATCATTTTTCTGATTTGAAATGTTTTTGTGGTTAGTTTCCAGTAAACAAAGACTATTCTGATTAGTGTTAACATAGGGAATAGCTCCAATCATACCACTTTTACATAAATTTTATATGTAAGAGCTGAGATCATTGCCGAATTGAACTATTCAAGCTATAATGTTGATCTTTAACATATAAAATATGGTTTCTTTTGAGTGAAATAATCTCATGATTTCATATAAGTTTGTGATCAAAGGGACGTGAAGGTGGAAGGGTGGCAGGAGTGGCGATAACATCAGAGAATTGGGATAACAGAGGCTCGGAAACTCGGGGTAGAAGGAGAAGGGGAAGATGTGAGGACTGGGGAAAGAGAGAAGAGGTAACCTGTAAACTGGCCTACTTTCTTCTTGAGCAAACGGCCGAAAGATTTTCCAAAGAGGAGTTTGCAATGGGCTTCCCCTACCAAGCCCTGAAGGGTAAGTTGTTTCCCTTTTTAGGCGAAAGACATCTGACGTTGCTTTAAGTCCAATTGAATCGGGCTAACATCAAACTCGAACTCGGTCCCTTGCATACGCCAGCGAAACCCGCGACACACTTAGTTACTGAGTAACGCGGCCCCGTTCGCGACTTTGACCTTCATCGGCGTCGCTGAGTCGAGTCGACACCCCAACTCGTAAGCTCTCGACTCACTCAAGAAGGTATGACTGTTGCCGGTGTCAATGAGAACCCCCACTTCCTGCCAACCAACACGCGTCGGAATCTGTAAAGCACGGCCAACCGATCCCGATCCCAAAGCTTTCATCGAAACCTCAACTTCATCCGCGGCAGTAGAAGGTTGAATCAGATCTACGATCTCCTCGTCGCTCTCCGCCGGAGAATCGTCCGCCTGCAGAACTTGAATCTGCTTCTTCTTCGCACACACATGGTCGTAGAAATACCTATCACCGCACTTGAAACAAAGGCCCTGACTACGAGGATTGGGAGGCCGCGGAGCCAAAACCGAAGGCGAGGAAGAAGACTCCGCCTGAACAGGTTTCAAAACCGTCCCACTTCGATGGAGGAAGATTCTTCTTCTTACGAGCTGAAATCGACATCTCCTCCATTCTCGCTTGGTGAAACGCAATGGATAAATTGGGAGGCATCAACATCTGAACTCGGGGCTGAATTTCGTCATCGAGACCACTGATGAAGCTCATGATGAAGTACGACCCAGTAAGATTGGGATTCAACCTTAGCATACGAGCACGGAGATCCTCGAAAGCCTCCTGATAATCGGAAACCGAGCCTTCCTGGCGGAGTTTGTTAAAGGCACTGATGACGTTCATCTGATCCATATCGCCAAATCGATAAAGAAGATCACCGACGAAGATGTCCCACTGCAAAAACTGGCGATTGCACACCCAACCTTCATACCAGATGTTCACTCGACCCTCCAAATACATGGAAGCCACCTCCACCTTCTCGGCGTCAGAGATGGAATGGATCTGAAAATATTTGGCACATTTTCGTAGCCACGCGTGAGGATCCGAGCCGTTGAAGAAAGGGAGATCCATCCGTGGAGTTGGACGGAGAGTGACCAAATTTGGATTGTTTTACTATATGTAGTGACCATGACTAGATTTAAATATTTTGAGTGATCAAACAATAACTTTTTTTGTAATATGAAGTAAATTCGACCCAATTAATTAAAACAAGTAAACATTGAATGGTAGATAGACAAAAGAAAGATTAGGTGAACCACACATAAGAATGGCGAACATAAAAGAGGTTCAATGGTCATCGTAAATGAAGTCGGATATTTGGATTGTAATCGCTATAAATAGCCATTATTGTAACCGGATTTAGTGGGTGCATAAAAAACAGAAAAAATGAAAAGAAACAAAAGCTTCCTTTATTAATTCCCAAAACAATTTCTTCCATTCAGAAACTCAAACCCAAAGTTTACATATATAATTATTACATTTACAACAAACAAGTCCAAAAATCCAACCTAAATTAAACACCCACCTCTCTGTCGCGTCTCTCATTTCGTTTGATATAACATGTTCTTGAGCAATTGTGTTCTTAATTGACAATCCGAGTTTCTTTAATCCTTTCGTCAAGGTATAATTGTATAAATTAATTAATAATATTATCCATTGAAGTACGTATTCATATATATGGCGAGCATCACGGTGGAGGAGGTACGAAAGGCGCAACGTGCGGAGGGTCCGGCCACCGTCCTGGCAATCGGCACGTCCAATCCGGCGAACTGCGTTGATCAGAGCACCTACCCTGACTACTACTTCCGCATCACCAACAGCGAGCACATGACGGACCTCAAACGGAAGTTCCAGCGCATGTGTAAGCCCCCCGCCCCTAATTAATTATGATTATACATATATTTGTTATCCAACATTTTATGCTTATTAATTAGTTGTTAATCATGTTTTCGTTAATCATGATGATACATTGTAATATTTACGTACTACGATCATCCATGCAAATTTGTGATACGATGATTGCATGGTTCCGTTTTGCGCGCATGCATGCAGGCGAGAAATCGACGATCAAGAAGCGTTACATGCACCTAACAGAAGAGTTCCTACAACAACACCCAAACATGTGTGCCTTCATGGCGCCTTCTTTCGACGACCGACAGGACGTCCTCGTCGTCGAGGTTCCCAAGCTTGCCAAAGAAGCCGCCGCGGCGGCGATCAACGAGTGGGGCCAGCCAAAATCCAGCATCACCCACCTCATCCTTTGCACCACCAACGGCCTCGACATGCCCGGCGCCGACTACCAGCTCACCAAGCTCCTCGGCCTCCGTCCTTCCGTCAAGCGCTACATGATGTACCAGCAAGGGTGCTTCGCCGGCGGCACCGTCCTCCGCCTCGCCAAGGACTTCGCCGAGAACAACAAGGGCGCACGCGTCCTCGCCGTCTGCGTCGAGATCACCGCCATGAGCTTCCGCGGGCCCAGCGAGTCCCATATTGACAGCCTCGTGGGCCAGGCCCTGTTCGGGGACGGTGCTAGTGCCGTGATAGTGGGCTCGGATCCACTTCCGGAGGTTGAAAAGCCCATATTCGAACTCGTCTACGCGGCCCAGACCCTTGTCCCCGACGGCGATGGTGCCATTGAAGGACACCTAAGGGAGATGGGCCTGACGCTCCACCTCCTCAAAGATGTTCCTGGCCTCGTCGCCAAGAACATCGAGACGTGCCTGACCGATGCGTTCGAGCCGTTGGGGATCTCGGATTGGAACTCGATTTTCTGGATCGCGCACCCTGGTGGGCGCGCGATCCTGGATCAGATCGAGGCCAAATTGGAGCTCAGGGAGGAAAAGTTCCGGGCGACGAGGCACGTGCTGGCCGAGTATGGCAACATGTCGAGCGCGTGCGTGTGGTTCATCTTGGACGAGATGAGGAAGAGGTCCGCTGCGGATGGGCTGACGACGACCGGAGAAGGGCTCGATTGGGGCGTGTTGTTTGGGTTTGGGCCTGGGCTTACTGTTGAGACCGTGGTCTTGCACAGTGTGGCCCTTTGAGGTAGTGCTCTAGCTGATTTGGGTACCAGTTACCTGTTCTTTAATTTTATTCTGCAGTGTGACTGAAGGCAAATTAATGTTAGCCTCAACTTGATTCTTGAAGCAAATTGTATTCTTACAGTTATATATTTCGAATTTGAACATGTGTATATAAATAAAATTTTGCACCACTTTGATTGAATTTATTCCGTTTCGCCTCCCGTCAAAACTGTGAGGCAGCCAAACAGCAATTGCAAAGAGCCGAAGACGAAGAGCTTTTTCCGTCTTATTTGTGGGCCGCTCTTGTAACAAATCGTTGTTGCAACCTTTGGGCCTACAACTTCTTTTTTTAGTTTTCTAGTTCTGGGGTTCTGGCCCTTTTGTGTTAGTAAAAATAGACGATCGACTTCTCAATCTCTCTTCGTCTTCTCCGTTCTTTTTTCACTTCCTCTCTCAAGTCTCGAGAATCCAAAGCCCTAATCGAACTAGGTCCCAGTCGGATATCACCCTCCATGGCTTCAGTCAGCTTTTTCTTGACCAAAGTTGCGCTTACCTGGTGAATTGCGCGATTGTTCTTGTAGTGCAGTGAACTCGAGCTTGGAGTTGGATGAACATTTGGCACGGTGGTTTGGATCAGTCGAGCTCTTGAAGTTCCACAAAGAACCAGGTATAAGCTGCTTGTTGCTTAGAGGTTGTATTTCATGCATGCTCAATCCCTAATTAGGCACAATCAAGAGGCATGCCCGACTAGTTGGTACCATGAAATCTGTAATGTGCTTTTCAAAACTGGGTTTTGTCTTAGCTTGTGGATGCATTTGATTTCGGCTCTGTCCATATTGGAGTCAATTTCTATCTAGTCTCTTTACTCTTAAACTGTTTTCCCTTAGCTTGCTAACGAGATGTGTGTATTAGCAGTCCCTACGTTTGCCTTTGTATTGGATTGCGGCCAGGAGGTAGCAGTTTTGTAGCTGGGTTTTGACTGTGTCGAGCCATTTTCGAGCACAATCCGAGCTACATCAAGAAAAGAAAGGGCAATAAACAATGTCGATTCCGCCTAGACATGATCTAACTACTTCTCAAGGTAAGGCCAGGAGTGAGCATTACATAAAGTACTTGATCAAGGAAGAAAAGCAATACTATGGAGCTGAAGCATTGTTCATCACTCATCCATTACAAGAGACTTTCCTGGCAGCACGCAGATTCTTCTTGGGAGGTGAGCGTTCTCGTGATTCTTTTTCTCCATTTCATAAGCGATGAGTAATTTATTTTCACCAACTTCATCCATTTTCAGTTTGTGGGAAGTCCATTATCTCAGTGGAACCACCATATATGCTGCACAGTTCATGTTTGAAAAGTTCTATGCCGACAATGTGGCTGCTCCAAGTGAAGATGAGATAGAGATTTCGAAAAAGTGTTGTCTCGCAGTTATGGTCAAGCTGATGGAGTCGAGACATGACCGCGTTCGTGAACATCCTTATGAGGTTTTGTATTCCAATGATAGCATTCGCAAAGAGGTCTCCAGAATAAACGATACGGAGATGCAATTGATGGCAAGAATGGGATATCAGGCCAAACCTCCTACTCCGTTTGATTACCTCCCACGGTTGGTTGTGGAGTACTTTCCGGATGCTTCAGAGTACGAAACCTCCCACGGTTGGTTGTGGAGTACTTTCCGGATGCTTCAGAGTACGAGATGAAGTACACAGAGATCGGTTCACTATTACTGAAACAAATGGCTAGAGAAGATTTTGATGCACCTATAGCTACGAGTAAGCCATCTGCCCTAGCTCTTGTAGCAACATCCATGATAGCATCATATCCTGATCCTCCCGTGTTCAGCACCGACAACGTATTGAATGTCAACGAGGTAATAATGTAGGCAGTAGGCATATAAACACTTTCAGTTACATACTAACCATGGTGTCAATCAAGACTGAAACTGTTTTTTTGTCTTGTTACAGGTTGATTTCCAGAGGTATGTAGAAATGATGCAAGGGAATTGAAGATTAAACTCTGAGTGAAGGAGAAGCTGCTGCTCGTCTAGAATTTCAGGAATTAGGCCCTTTTCCCTCTCCTTCGTTAAGACTCTATCCTCTACTTCTATAAGATTAGGTTTCACATAGTCAGAGCAGCTTTAGCCTTTGCATGAAGTGCTTGCCTGGCTTTCATATCTGTTGCTCTTTCTTCTCTAAATGGATGCTGAAAACAGTTATGAACAAAACTATGTTCCAAACATAATGATGTACGTAGACAGGATGGATGAACAGTATTAAAAGCCGATTGTAAAGAGAGCATTATGGATATTCAAAATGAATTACCCTTGGGTTTGCTTGATTTTTATATGTGCGATGGTTGATTACACTCGAACGATTGCACTCGGATTATGAAAGTTGCATGAGAGGAAGACAAGCAGAGATAACAAGAAGGCTCGTGTGGAATAATAGGAAAAAAACATCAATAAGAACAGAGTGAGGAGGGGGGGAAATCATACAAACAGCACTACCAAGTACCCCTCATTTTACTTGCCTTCTGAGCAATCGTTAAAGACAGTGCATTGGATTCAATAACACGAAATACACACTAAACTACACGAGCAAAAGAAGAAATGTCAATTTCCAGGCTTAAATATGATCTGCCCTTCCGTCATCGTCACTCATTCCATCTCCAGCAGGCCTGCAGTCAAGAGGAGATCTATAAACATCAATTCAACTTTTAAAACCGCTGTTCTCTTAGTAATGCAAAAGTGTTTCAGGAAACACGGCACAAAAGGGCGGATAAATGATAATTATCGAAGGTCATCATCATCAGTTCTTAGCAGGAAAATAAAGTTGGAACACTAACCGCCAGGATGATGTCAGATTCCGAGCTTTCCTGTCCAACTGAAGGTTTTCAAGTGCAGTTGAAGCTCGATTTACTTCCTCAGGGATCTCATCACTATCATACCTCCAATTATAGTCATCTTTCCTGTAACCACCGCTCATGGAGGACCCTCCTCTCCTGTCTAGTTAAAATTCGAATTAGAACCAGATAGACAGAAAAATCCAGCAGGAAGGGGGTGATGAAAACGGAAAATAAGAGCTCGATTAATTGCTCACCAGATGACGATGATGCACCCGGCCTATTGATAAGCATGCCAAAAAAAATGACAAACAATTAATGAATAGAACATAGGGGGATTCCGATTCACAATGCTAAAGCAAAACTGGCTCAGCACCTTCCTAAAGGAGGTAAACCACCAGCAACAGATGATGAAGAGGGCCTCCGCATGTTCCTCGAGTCTAAGTTAGATAAGGACTCATTTTCTGATACTCTCCTTCCAGATCCTCTGCCTTGAGTTAGATTCTGTTTAAACATCAAGGTAAAGAATTATGGAAGCAATTCATATATTTCAGCATAAAGCAACAGCAAACTTTTATCTAGAGAACAAAACCTGGGTCACATTTATCGAATAGCCAATTGATTTAAGATTATCAATGTCAATCTAGATAAGACTCTCAGGCTATCTTGCATCCCATCATCATATGGCAGGTACATGATAAATACCTCCTTCCAAAACAATTCCATCAAACCATCAGAAAGAAATCTAATGACAAACCTCATACTTCAAGAATCCTTCGAGTACATCGAGAAGCAAAGGACCACTATCTCCATTCCTGTTGAGATCGTACCCATTATTGCTACTGAATTCTTTCAATTCTGCTTTCCATGAATCCTTTTGCTGCAATACAAATTGCGAATGAAATTCACAGCTTATGAGTAAAAAAAAAAAAAACTGAAAGAAAAAGGCAAGATCTCAAACATCTTGAAGACAAACTAAAAGTTACTGCATTACCAAGTTGCACTCAGGTAGATATACTTTGAGCGTGTGATTTAGTTGTGCCCAGTCAAAGTACTCACACATTAGTGCAGTTAATAGCCTCCCTGCATATGAGAATGGAAGTCATATCATAAAAGACTATTAGCATCTATCCAACTCCTCGACACACCAGAAACGAAGGAATGGAACTTAAACTGTTCTGAGTGTAAAGCAAAAGAAATTTCAGCATTTTTCAATTTCATCAGGAAGCAATATCAAACTGAAAGTGCACCACTTCCCAACCCTGATTTCGTACCAAGGCAATCAATGAAACCTAGATAGTAACCTGATGGTGAAGCGTGAAGCTGCTTTGCGCGGTCATTGCAGCTACCCAGTAATGCAGGTGGTAAGCCTTCTTCATTTTCAACTACCCTATCCTCCTCTTCAATCGCTTCAAAGACACTTGCTCTGAGTTCCGCCTATAATGTAATCCCCATAATCACATGAGACCAAGGATGCAGAAATGGAGTACAAGAAAACACATTACACAAGTGATAAGCCAACGTGAAAAGTCCTGGCTAAGAGTTCCTTTCCAGGACCAATTAACCTCCATCAAGGAAGGAGAAACATATTCCCTAAACAACCAAGTAACAATTCCAGCACAACCCCCAACAACGCTGTGGCATTCGAAAACTGGGCCAAGACTACAAAAGGAAGCAATCAACAAAAACCCATGATTCGTCAACGTTTCCAGTACCCCAGGATCAAACAAAAGATGCAAACTTTGAGTATTCTAAACAAATCTAGACTCCCTATAGACGAAAGAGCTTCGATCTAAACCAATCAAGATGTCGTTTACACCACCAACTCTCGTGGACCAAGTACGAGTTCAGCAGAATTAACCAAAATTGAAAATTGGGGGGAGACCGCTAGAACCCTAATACAGGAGAAGCAAAAAAAAAAAAAAAAACTGTCGACCATTCACATTTCCTCGTTCTACTCGGTGCAGGAAGAGATACTGTAAGGACCATGAAAGAACAACCCAGAAATGCCGCCGAACATCGAGATCGGAGAGGAAAATTAAAATTGCAGAAAGTTTCTCGGGAACCGAAGAGATGTGAGAAAGCGAAACTAACCCGGATCTTAGCGAGAACCCCTTTCTTCTCAAGTGTTCGAGTGACGAGGGTCTTGAGGTCCATCATCTCTCTCGTGTAGTCGTCCATTTTCTCTTCTCGCTTCCCTCTCTCGCTCTAGCGCGGTTCCAGTTAAATTAGAACCAGGGGAAATGAAATAGTGGTTCTCTTTCAAAAAAAATTTGAACACAGTTCCCTTTCAATTTTTAAATTCGAAAGAACGAACGAAAGGGAACAAAAAGGCCAGAAAGAGATAGAGAGGGAGAAGAAGTGTATGCTCTGTGTTAATAATGAAAATGACATCGAAAGTGAGAAAAAAAAAGTTACAATAATGTGTGTAGGCTCCCAGTGGAATTTGATGGATCTTTCAAAAAAAAAAAAAAAAGGAATTTGATGGAGAAGGTTGAAGGAAAGGTGAATTGGATAATTTAGTTGGTTTAACTGTTTTAGTTTTATCGTTAACTAATGATCAATATTTTGAAATTTATTTTTCGTCGATATCAAATAAAATTTACATCTAATCATTGAAATACAAGTAAATTTACATGTACGAATTTATAAAATAGACTAGTCGCAATAACTTTAGCCCCTTCCTAATTATCACGATCCAAAATCAACCCCTCGTTTAAGTTTTGTGGCTACTTATGTATTTTCTTCTTCTTGTCCTGACAGGGTCTTCGTCTTCTTCTTCTTGTATGTAGAAATTTTTTAGTAAAAATCCTCCATATTCATACAACCTTACTTCGAAGTTCTTTAACATAAACATACGAAATGTAGTTCATACCAAAAGATTATAGAACGAAAACTAAAATACTGTTCCACCTTAGCTCATCCAAATTTCTCAAAGCCTCATATTACGATCTCAAAAAGTGTACCGATTTCTTCAATACTTTTGACAGTCACTTGCCAGATAGCAGTACGACTCGTCAACTCGACCGAGTTAAACATTCCAAACTTACAATCAGTGCGACTCTCGCATATTACCGATGTAAAAGAGAGTTCTAATTAGTACTACTACTCAATATTCATCACCAGATATGGACAAGAGTATGCAAGGTTTCGTCAGTCTGTTTCTGCCTTCTAGAGGTGCTTGGCGAGGATTGATTCCACCACACCTTGCGCGATAGGGTGATAACACTCGCGAGCCTCTGCAAACAGCCTTTTCGCCAAGATCTTCTCCTCTTCGTTCCCGCTGCCTTGAACAAGAGCTGTGTAGAGCGGGCGAAGGTACTTCATCCTCCCCACTTCTTTCAAGGTCTTCTCAACTTCAGGGTAGTAATCTCTGCACTTGGACGAAATCGCCATTTGCAGGAACGCTACTTTCACCTCATAGTCCTTTGACTCTGACATCCGGTAGCGAGCATCCAAGGCTAAGACCTGCACTCACACGATCGAAGTTGTAAAAGAACAGACGCAAAAAGTCCTATGGGGTTATCTGGATGATGGCTTGTGTGGATTGATTGTAGCATCAGAAATCCATTTAGGGAAGGATTGCAGCCCAAATTTACTGTTCGGCAAGAAACAACGGGATGGAATGCTGTGACTGATGGATTCGAGAATGATAACTAACGTAGGAATGGGTGTGTCTTTGTAAAATCCAGTCCGCACTATCCAATATTACTGCTTTGAACCTAATTTTTTTCACTTCTTTGTAAATGCAAGGGTAATTTAGCTTCTTTGTAACTATTTCAGCCATCCATCACACACAATACAAACATTTTCACAACCCACCCACGTATCATCATTTCAAAATTCATCTATTTCACTATCCGTGTATTCTTAACAATCAACTCATCTCAACCATCCAAAACCCATAAACCGCCTCTATAAGCTAAAATTTTCACAGAGCAAAGCTTTAATGATCCAAACTCCAACAGGGAAGTTTAAGAAGCAGCAGACTGAAAAGGAAGCGCAAATTGATGAAACTTCTAGACTTATTTTCAGAGTTCAAATATGGAGGAAAAGAAAGGCATTGCTTAGCTTTAATCAGGAAACTCCTAGGCAGAGAAGGGAATGGTAGCCAGTGCAAAGGAAAATAGACAAGAAGTGTAGTAATACCTGAGAGGCTTCAACACATTTGGGCAGGTTCTCTAAGTAGAGCTCCCATTCTTGCCCTCGCCAATTGGCAACTTCGTCCTCCCTTGGCATCCTTCCGAGCTTAAACTCATTTGCAAGTGAAACTATCGTAGTGTACAAGTCGGAGACTGGTTCATATGCATCAGGAGGGATGCCAGTACCTTCAGTCCACAGTTTTAGATCAACCTCCTTCTCTATTCCAGGGACATTTGCTTTCAGGAACTCAAGAAATGTATCAGTATCAATAGACTTGAACTTGAAGTTTTCGATATACTTCTTGATAAACTCATCAAATGCAGGCCTTCCAATCTGATGAAATAGGAAAACCATAAAACCCATTATGAACATATCTCTCACATGTCAACACCAGGAACAAACAATGACTTATTAAACTTAACCTTACCTGGCGTTCAATTCGAGCAAGAAACTGAAAACCCTTCTCATAAGGAACTTGAGAATACACATTGTCTGGATCAATTCCTTCCTGGTTAGTTTTGAGCTTTGTGAACTCCATGTTGTCCTTAAACCTCTCCATCGCCTCATTCAAAGTCCTCCAACCAATTCCCATGCTCAGAATAGCTCTCTCTTCTCCTTGAACAACCTCAACAATTCTCCTCTCAGCATATCTTGTAAAACCCTGCCACCGAATGAGGTAGAATTTCATTATAGCAGAAGCAATAATCAGTAAAGGGCCACTTCGTATGCACGGACTGTTCTCTTATTATTCTGAGAATACAAGGTGTTATCTGAGAATACACTGTTTTCCCTTGTCCGAGTTTCATATCAAAACCACTCCATTCTGCACAATACATGCATTCACTTAAATAGAATAAATCATTAAGATGCGCAACTATCAAATGACCCCTAAAAGGGAAAACTGGAATTATAAATGTGCATACAATCTTAAGATGGACATTGACCTTGAAACTTCAAACAGTCTGTAATCTCAAAGGCATACATGATTCGCATATAAGCCAAAATATCAGAAAGCTGAAGGCATTCACTACCAAGAAACTATTATAAGGTATCCAAAATCTCAACAGTGCAATGTTGGATCATCATGCATACCTCATTCAACCAGAAATGCTCATTGTTTATGTTGGTAATCAAGTTGCCAGTCCAGCTATGAGCCAATTCATGCGCCACGACCTGAGCCCCACTGGCATCCCCTTTAATCACCGTAGGCGTCAAGAACACCATCCTGGGATTCTCCATTCCACCATAAGGAAAGCTCGGCGGCAACACCAACAAATCAAACCTCTCCCACGGATACTCCCCAAACAGCTTCTCCCCTTGCCGGACCATATCCTCGGTCCCGGCGAACTCACTGGCCGCCGAATCCAGCACTGCTGCCACATTCTCCGCGTAAACCCTCGTCCTCGGCCCGACTTCTCTGGACCCCAGTTCCCCAACCGCAAATGCAAACAAATACGGCGGAATCGGCTGCTCCATCACAAATTCCTCCACCACTCTCCCATCCCCACACCACAGCGACTCGAAATTGAGCGCCGCGGCGGAATCCACTTTCTTAAACCCCTCGCTCACGTCCCCGGCAACCGGATCGCGGCGGCCGGAATGCCTGGCGGACATCACCGCCGACAGCTCCCGGGGCACGTTGAGCTTCGCGGAGTAACAGATGCGAGCGGCGGGCGTGTCCTGGCAGGGGAAGACCGAGCGCGCGTGGATGGACTGGCATTGAGTGTAAACGAAGGGGTGCGTCTTGTTGAATGTCTGCGGCGGCGAGAGCCACTGGAGGGCAGAGGAATCCGGCGAGGTGGAGTAGAGGATGAGGACGGAGGCGTGGGAGTCGAGCGCGACGGAGAGGAGTGAGCCCTTGACAGCGTCGGGAGGGGAGAGGGTGAAAGGGAGAGGGGCTAGGGTTTGGGGGTCGAGAACGCCGTGAACGGTGAGGGAGCGGGCGTCGAGTGACAGCTGGCCGGTGTACGGGGATGAGAGGTTGAGGAGCGCGGCGGCGTGGATGGTGGAGGAAGGGAAGTCGAAGTAGAGGGAGAGGGAGACGTGGGTGGTGAGCGGGTGAGCTGAATCGGTGTACGAGTGAGGATCGACCGGCGCCATTTTTGCTGGTGTTGGAAAATCAGTAGGCGGAGGAAGGGCAGTACAGTACGGATTAGCTATGGGTACCAAAAAGGGAAGCAAATCGGACTTGTTGGTTTCTCCCCTGAAGAATTTGTTGGATAGAAATGTGTTTGTTTGTTGGGTAGCGTTCAGTGTTGTTGAGCAGGGAGGGAATAACGCTACTGAGCTTGTTAAGGGACTGTTACATTGGACGTTGAAGAATTATTTTTCTTTCTAATAGGAGAGCGATTAGACCAAATTGAAATTAAACCGCTAGATCAAATTCTTGTTCGCAAGCGGTAAGCATATAGTTAGGAGCTTGTTTCTGTTTACCTGTGTGTGTAACTCATCAAACACAGATGGAAACCATCCTTTTCCCCCCTTCAACCTTTCCCATCAATGGATCAACCAAACCGTTTCAGTTGAAGCACACAAATTCAGACATAATGATGGGATCTGAGGCTGATAAGGAAACACCACTCAAGTAGGGATTCTATAAAAATGGAGTCGTTTGGTGTTAAAAGGAAAGCCAAGACAACCCAGAAAACGAATCGAATAACCAGTAGGGAAGAATGTTGCATTTGCATCGAACAAGCACAGCATTCCCACCGACTGGGATGATCTTGTTCTGAATCCCAATCAACAGTCACAGAGAAGATCAAACCTCACACAAAAGACAAATGAAACCATAAACCCTGGGAGAGAAACGAATCTCATCTTCCAAAAACAGCAAACTGAACTGTATTTCAGGACAATCATTGGCTTGTCATGTGTAGTAGCAGATGCAGAATAAGAACATCAGTCATTTGCAATCAAGGCGCAAGTCATGTCTGATATAGCAGCCATAACCAAGAGTCTACGCAGCCCTAGGCTGGTGCATAGTATCGATTATGCGAAATATATCGAGTAACCAACTAACCATCCACGACCAAGCTAGAACTCCACTCCCAAGTACACAGTTCAGCAACTCTCGTTCATTTGATTTCCACCATAACCTAAGAGCATGATCAAACCCCCAACTACAAGCCACCAAACTCCAGAAATTTCACTACCTACTAGCAACAGAATCCCACAATGGAAATTCACACATAAGACAAGTTCAAATCTTCAAGCAAATGCAAGATCAATTAAACACAGAGCATTAAGGGAGTCACAGCTAGAGATCCTAACAACATTTGGAATTGAATTGGTATCACTATTCAATTGTCAGTTTTACAAATTTCAGAAGCGTATTCGCCATTTGCATTCTCCAGTGCCGCGGCATAGGTTTCTTACCCATCACATTGCTACAACAATTTCAACCAAACAGGCAGGCTACAAAATATGAGGTTCTCAGACCAAAAGAAGAACTTACACTTACACAAAAAGGGGGAATCGATGAAACTATTGGCCGGCGCCGCCCTGTTCTTCCTCCAACTTCTGCACATAAGCCTTGAGAACCATAACCACATCCCTCGCGGGCGCCTGCAATGTAGTCACCAACCCAATGGCCGGGCTCTGCAACGAACCCAACAACTTGGCGTAAATCTCTGCCCTCGACGGCATCGTCTCCAGCTGCTTGAACTCATCCGGCCCGTAAAACTTCCCTTCAAACACCCCTCCGCTGAAATCGTTGTCCTCCAGCTTCTTCTCTTTCTGGAAGCTTCTGTAGGGCTTGAGCACGTTGGGGATCTCTTCGGTGTGGACGAACAGCCAAGCATTCATGCCGGTCATGCAAGGCTTGAGGGCCTCCCATGGGGTGCCTTCAATGGCCTTGTAGACGAGAGTGTTCTTGGCCACAATCAGCTTAGAATTCTCCGGCAACGACTGGCGAAGCTCCTGGAACTGCTTGACGGTGAAGCCCTTGTACCGGATTGCGGCGAGGAGATAGCAGTTTTCTAGCTGGGTTTTGACGGTGTCGACGGTTTCTTCCTTCTTGTTGCGGGAAATGGCGGATTTGATTGTGAGGGGCCGGCGGCGGCGGAGGGAGAAGGTGGAGGTGGTGGCGGTGGTGGTGGTCGGGAACGAGAGGGAGAATGGGTTTGAGGGGCGGAATTGGATTAGGGAAGGGAAGGAGCAGAGCGCGGTCTCCATTGTCGCAAGGGAGAGTGTTTTTTCGAGTACTGACAGGGGCTTATCTTATCAGTTTTACCAAGTGCGGACCAGATCACCGTAAGGACGGCTCACACGGGTCCAGCATTTTTTTTTTTTTTTTTGTCAACACATAATTTATTTTTCGTTTTTCTTTTTTATAATAGTCTTTCGAAAAATATAGTGGGTAAAGATGGTGAAAATATTTTTGAAGTATACAAAATACTCCCAACATCTTATTTTCAGCTTCAGCTTTGAGATTGATCTGTATGATGGCAACACCATTATTGGTTGCTCTCAAGCAAGATAAGCTCATATCTAGGCAAAGTGGCACACCTTACGGCCACCACACCAACGGATAGTATTCAAGTTGGAACAAGATTTTGAATAATAAAGCTAGTGCACTAGAGAGAGTTTCTTACCATTTTGCTGCTTGCGCTGCTACGACCATTCGAGTATCTTCATCTGTGCATGATAATCTCCTACAAAAAAAACTCCATTAGTGGTAGCAGGACGAGGTGGCAGTTCTGAACATTGTTCCTCCAGGTTTGATTCCTCATCAGTGTCTTCAGTCTTGGTTTCTTCTAACTATGTCCCCTCGATGGACAAGCTCGCTAAAAGGCAACTTCTTTGATTCAGGAGCAGTAAACCCTATTAGAATTGAAAAGCTGAGAATTCATCTTTACAACTTGATGTACCACAATGCAAAGTCATAAATACAACGAAATGACAGCGCAAGTTAGACATTCATGTTTAAGCATCCCAACCGATCCCCCGATACCAGAAAGTTAAGCAAAAATTGTGAGGAAGGACAAAATAATGGTTGCCACTTTGGCGGGGTACGAGAATACATAGTCCTAGCTACGAACGGCTTTCCTTCCTCAGAATATAATCTACTGCATCTTCGACGGTGTCAACAACCTGCATAAGTACAAGGATGACCGTGTATTCATGAGGAAGCAAAGCACAGTAGCTGCATTGTTTAGTAAGGGCGTGTGTTGTTCTCCGATTACAGAAGACGTTCACTTGCCAACTCAAAAGCAAGTATTTAGTACTGTCCATACTTACCAAATCTGCAGGAAACTCGGCATGGTTGTGTTCACCACGGAAAACACCCGTCCTTGTCAAGATAGAGAACCACGGCTGCCCAGCCTGCAAAGTGAAAACCCGGGAGAAAAACATAGCTGTTAGATGAAGCCTTCTACAGTAGGGAACTTTTATGAACCATTAATCACATCGAACGTTCAGAAGAAGGGAATTATTCTTGGTTAGTTGGCTGTCCATAACAATCCCAAAAGTAAAAGCGAGCAAGCAAATTACATCTAATTGATTAGAAAAATATAAGAGTTGAAAGAAAGAAGCATGACAAACCTCCCGGGCACCTTTGACGTCAACGAAAGGGTTATCACCAATCATGTAGAGGGTTTCAAAAGGATGTGCTACAGGCCCACATTCTTTAAATTCACCGTGTTCGTCAGCTGGTTGAAACTGGTTGAGGACAGATTCAGCGTTCTTGAACACAAAAGGATTTGGCTTCCCAAAGGACACGTACTCCAGAGGACTGTGATGGACTCTACATGTAAGTCATCAAGAGACAAATCATCCACCACCAGAAACAAGATGTAAAACTATGACATAGTACTTCAGTTTGCCAAATTAAGCTGATTCCACACTCCATATCCTCATCCCTTCCAAAAAAAAATGACAGAAGATTGAACCAATTTTCTTTTGACTCAAGACCTAGCACATTTAGTCAGGCACCTTGATGACATGAGAAAGTACCTGTTGAAAACACTCTCCAGAGCGATTCTAAAAGCCCCCAATCCAAGACGCTCAGAGGGGAATGCAGCCTGTAGCAGAAAATCATTGATGAAGCTCCTTTCATTAGAAAGCCCAATTGATGTTTATAAACCAATCTGAAATGTGGACAGTTGTAAGCGTAAGAACTAAAGAAGTCATGGTGATTGGTGAAAGCTGAGAGGTCAGGACTCAGGACAAAGTTTGCTGACAAGTGAAATTAGACATGAGCTTTAATGGCAAATGCTGTCCGCTAAAAATGAACAACTTAATTTCTTAATTTAAACTGCAGGTTTGTGGAAAACAAAATATTTACATTATATTTTCTAAAGGTGAGCAATTTATTTTCTAATCAATCTAGGTTCCCCTGCAGAAAACAAAACTAACAAGAAACCAAAAAAAAAAAAAATGCACCTGCCTGATATTCAAGATCATCAGCAGCGAAATAAAGTGGAGGTTGAGTCCCACCTTTATGCCCCACAATGCCTCCGGATCTTAAAATATCACAGATTACCTACAAGAGATAATTGGTTGTTTCACTTTCACAGCTTTCAGAGGTACAGCTAGATGGATTCTGATCAAATAGTTAACCACTTGCATGATCAAATAAAATATTTTACTTGCACACGATTCAAATCAATTCATGTCACAGATAGGAAAAGCCAACATGTTGCTTCTGAGGTAAAACAATTCATCGCATATCTTACAGATTTTGAGATAAAGGTGGTTTTCACTGTCAAATATATTATACAGTTAGGTAATTTGTTCTCAGATATGCTAGTGAATTCAATTCCAGGACTCTTTGCTATTCCAATTAGAAATTATGCAGAACTTTTGACTCCGGAACTGTGGAAGTATACAAAACTACAAGAATGATTTTAGATAAAAGCCACTAGCAACTCTTAAACTTGTCACACAATCAATAAAGGAAGTAAATCCCTACAATTGTTTAAGTTTATAGATTATTGGAACTATCAAAACTCACACAGGCTTGTATTACGTTAAGGACGATGTAGTCTCATCAATTACACAAGATATATACCTGAATATCCCTGCCCCAGTCTACCGGATCACTGACGACAAAAACAGCTTTAACTGATTCGGAATGAATATCACATGTTGGCACAATATTTCTGGATAGATCACTTCTGTCCATGGCTTTTTTAGTTGCCCAATACTTGTATTGAGACACAGGATCTATGTTCTCAAACAAAGATGCATAATCTTCTAATGAAAGAACATTTCTGCCACCAGAAGAAATCACAATCATGAGAATATTAAACTGTGTAACAAATAAGAGACAGAGAACTATGCATTAATAAAGCCCTTACTTGAATCCATACTCAGACATCACAAGTGCAGGTTCCCCTTTACCAGTAGCAACGATGAGTTGATCCTCGTATCTGAAAGGCAAGTTAATTAAGGAAGAATATTCTGTTTGATGCGTATACAGGAGAGGATTTTCAAACCAGAAGTATACCTCTTCAGCAAATTTCTGAAAGGAGAGTGACCTTGTAAAACCTGAAACAAGAAACTATGCCCAGCTTCCCATCAGTCACACAACAGCGCCAAACAGGAAAGCAAATGACAGTTCGGCGAGAATCTTAAAACAATACCTGAGAAGGTAAGATCTTAACTCCCAGAAGCTCGCTTAATTCAGAAGCTCGTCTATGTTCAGGAAGACCACCCCCTAAGACATGAAGAATCATACAGAAAGAGTCAATCATGCGTCCAAACAGGTCATATGACTTCCATCAGCTCGGATTAGTGTGGCCCTAAGCCCTAACATACATTTTTTGAGTCACCAATTACATGAGTGAGTTGAAGATCCAAGTGGCTTAGATGTCTCACCATTAGTCAGGAAGACAAAGGGAACTTTCGAAGACCCTGCATTGAGAACACAGCAAGCAAAATCAGAAGCAACAACGGCCAATAAGAGGTTTAGTTTCACTAGCATACTCTAAAAGTAAAAACTGTAACAATTGGGCCGCTCTCGTCGATCAACAATCGCAAACACTAAAAGCTCTATGAAATTACTATTCACCAAATCCATACGAACAGCAGTCAAAAATCAAAACACTTCTCCAGTTAGTTTCCCCCTATCTCCTTCGCAACCAAACCACGATTGTACAGTAGAGAAACACCGATTCGTACATTTAGAGAAACTGCAGTACCTGAATCTCCAAGCAGTCGCCTCAGAGCCTGAGGAGAGCCGCCGATAGGAACGCGGCCACGAAGAATTACCCCGTCAATGTCAAATGCGACGCCGAAAGAGAACCTAACAATTGGCGAGGAATCGCGACGATCATCAACCTGCTATTAGGGTGGAGGGGAATGAAGATAGAGATGGAAGAGGAAGACCAGAACAGACCGTCGCAACTGCTGCTGGTCCCGCGGCTGGAGGTGAAGGTGATTCTGTTGAAGCCGGGAGAAACAACGTGGAGGTCGAGAAAGAAACGGCAATGGCGCCATGATTCTAATTTCGGAAAGTCTCGAACCTACCGCCCTCTGAATTCTCATATTCGCTCCTCAAGCAGAACTCTCTGCTCTCGTCTCTCTGCCTGTCGAGGATGTGCTCTCCGCCGCTGGGGTCGTGTCGTCAGTTGTCACGCCCACACAACAGCCCTCCGCCGTCGTTTTGTGTATTAGAACTGTCGGGCCCCGTCTGACGGGTTCGTCAACAATATTTAAGTTATCCCGACATTTTCTACAATGTGACTCTCTGTAATCACTCAAAATTCATGTAGAAAGTAACTAACCTAACCACATGATCAAATGAAAGAGGAGGCGAGGTATCATAAATTTTACAAACTATGCATGACATCAGAACACATTTTTTTCATCATTTCACTATACACTTAAAAGGACGAATGTGAGATATTGGGGATGGAATCTGGAAAGAACCATAAGGATGACTTGACGAGGTGGGATATTTACATGTTACACTTTTGTAAAAATCAAACAAACACAGCTAGCTAACGACATCGAACCAGAGGGCTCAACGGCCGAAAGTGGAGATTTTTAGTGTCGTAGATTAATATTGAGAGGGTGCAGTCCATGACTGAACTGAAGCACCAAACGCCAACTTTTCAGATGTATTTTACTTGGAACTGTTGCTCTTCTTGCTCTTAGTGTCAGCTGCGTAATTAGACTGAGTAATACAACCAGTGCTGCCGTCGCCTTCTCCTCCAACGAGATTCTTCTTCAGAGCTTCAACGAAATCTTCAAATATCCTGGCCTTGATTTGGCCTCTCTTTGGCGGCAGCTGAATAAGACTCCTCCTCTCGTCTTTCTTCGCTGATTTCTTTACTTCCTTCTCCATTTCCATTTACGATCTTGGGTGATGAGTAATGCAGAGAGAATTCACAAAGGCGATGCAAGAAAAGAAAGAGGTTGGGGGGAAAGTGGAGTGATGAGTTTGATCGAGAGAGAGGATCGAGGAAAGAAAGGAGAAGGGGGGGATTAAGATAAAAGCAAAAGGACAGGGCCCACCGGCCCAGGGGAATTAAGGCGGTAGAGAAGCGGCCGACTTCTGATGGATGTTCGGTGGGAAGAAAATGCTAATTAAATATTTTTCGCCCAAGCCGAAAGTTCTATGACAAATTCTTGATGCGAATTAATAATAAGTGGCTGTTAGTGGGATGACAAAAAAATATTTTTAAAAAGGCAAATAATATTTGGGCCGACGAGTCAGATACCAATGTGAATAAATAACTAATTATGCTAAAATGAGTATGCCTCACATTTTGGGACATTTTTGTGTTAAATATAGGGCGTGAGACAACAACAAAATTCTTCATATATAGATAGATAGAATCTGCCACATCAAATACACCAAAAGCATGAAAGATAAAATAAGAGGAAGCTTCAATTGAACACCTCAAAAGTGCATTGTTAGGGTATATATTGTTTTATTTCCTCATTTCGTTCCCTTCAAAAGAATTAAACCCATTTCGTTTATGATATTTGTGCTTTTTACATCTTGTATTTCACTTGTCTATAACCGTATAGCACAATATCGGTTTGATGCTTACTTTAAAGTTTAAAACTCATCGATCATTCACAAAAGAAAATGGAACCTATTTTATTTCCCGTTTTTTTCTTATACGATCTTCATTACGATTTTGTTTTGTTTTGTCTTCATTATTTGAGTCAACAACGAACTTCTAGAATATATTAAAATATAAATAATATGTAATAAATACGAGAAGTTCAATACCAGGTTATGCACTCGTCCCCTTATTTGGCTATCAAAGTTGAAATCCATTTATATTTACAATTTTGATTCCTTAACAGACAAATTTCTAACTCCACCTCCATTTACAATTGCTATTGCATTCGAGATTTCTGCTAAACACAATATCATAAAATGACTACATGAACCTGGCATGTGCATGATACAAGTAAGTACTTGCAGTCTTGCACTAATATCTGTGATTTTAAAAAAATGATTCTATTAAGTTCTGTTATATAATGCTTTTTTGGGTTGCCATGATCTCTTTGATTTCTTGCCCGCCAGACAATCCACTTGAATAGTTAATTGTTGGTTATCGATTGGGTAATGTAATGAGTGATGTGATTGCCCTCAGCCTTCTTCATTAAGGAAACAGAGGAATCCATTAAATAATTAACTAACTAGTATAGTAAGATTAAGGGGGGAAATCAATGGGTCCCTTGTTATATTTTTGTGTTTTTTTTTTTCACCATATTCCAACTCAATTTGAATTAGAAACGGCCCAGTAGTAGTACTACTAGTGTTGTCTGCTAATTTATGGATTTGATATCGAATCCCGTGGTTGTTGACCCTTGACAAATGACCAAAAAATGTTGTTCAACTAAGCACAACAACCCTCACATCGACACTGAAGGCTCATACACCAATTAACCATATACTAATTCAGTTTCATTATGGTTATAAATAAAAATTTCATGTCACTGACAAAGAACAAGATTTACAAGAGTTCAGTCAGGTTTTTAATTTGGTGAGAGATTCGCCAATGATTTGTTATAAACGGGGTTAATAATTAGAAGAAAGCACTGAATAGTGGGGGACTTGGGGTGATTTGCAGAAACATACGATGACTGTTATCGGAGGATGAAGATGGTTGGGCATCAACACGCTAGCAGAAGTGTGAATGAAGTAGTGCATATTATGGACACATATGGATATAAGGATATTGGATGGAATGTGGTTGAGGCCTGATTTGATAGACCATGAATAAGTTTGCTCGATTAGTTGAGTATGGGTAATTTAATAGATTCAACTCATTAATAAAGCTGAGAGTATATTTCTATTAAAAAAAATCGTTGCTAACATTTGTGATCGAGCTAGGAATGGTCAAGATAATCATATTTGTGAATAACCGTCCAGATCCAACCTAATCGGGTATGGTAAAACACGAACTCGATTTTTTTCAATAGCTGCTGGTGAACTTTGAATCCAAATATTACATGTAATGGTTTGGACATGATTTTTTCACTATCAAACCAGAATTCGCCCGGTTATACACATGCATATGAATTTTGTTTATAAATTATAATTATTTTTCTCAACATATTTTATATTTATCATACATATTTAATATTTTCATGAAATTGTGTTGTTTTAACTAATTTTGTTTGTTCGACAAATTTACTTTTCACTTATGTAACAACAATATAGGTGTAATTATTAACATATTTGTTGAAACTATAAAAATAAATTACTATTCATGGATAATCGCAAATACCCGTAATTCGATCGATTAATGACCTGCGATGCGATTTTGATGTTCTGTTTGATTATTACGCGACTATGAATAAAACTCGAATTTTTCAGGATAATAATCCATTTTCTTTACTCTCTAGAGACAAGTACTGAAGTACCAATAAACTCACCCAAATGCCAAAATAGAAAATTCAAAATAGACAGTAGACTAGTAGAGGAAAGAAAATAAACGGTTCACCCAAGCGGGTCAACCCGTGCCCGGAAGGATCCCCTCGCCTGCCCGTTATGTGCTCCGGCCTCCGGGTGGCTCAGTCGGTTTGTCCATTTGCTCTCTTTTCATTTTTCATAATTCGGTTCTGCTAAATCCCAGGAAAGGTTCGATCCCGGCCTTTCCCCCGCCATTCCCTGTTGAATTCCGACTGTCACTCCTGTCCGACGCCCGTGTCGCTCAGTCTCCGATCAGGTAAACGACAGTCTCCAATTTGTTACTCCATCCATGGAAAGTCTTTTTTTCCTGTCTGTCACTTGATTCGCTAGGGTTTTTTTGAGTGAGCTTCGTCGCTCTCAATGCCAATGTCTTAATGATCTTTCTCCTTCGACGTTCCTTGTCTCTGATTGTGATATAAGGTATGGACCACCACGATGACGAATCGCGGGCTGCAAGCGGCGATCATCACGGCAAGCAGGACGATGAGGTGAGAATGACTGCTTCCGTACTGTATCAGTACGGTTGTTTTGTTCCATAGCGAACTTGTTAATTCTCGAGTAAGTGGTTACCGTGGAGTCTTGGAGACTCTGCTTGGATATAGTACCCTGACGTAGTTGCTAATTTAGCTAGCCTGTTAGAAATGGCTGCTTGAGTGTGTCTCATTTGTGTGTTGACTGTTGAGTAAATTTCTTATTGCAAGCGTTTTGAGGTTGTAACTTGTAAGTGAGGTTATCGTCTTTGTTTATTATTCAAATTCTGATACCATTGAAAAAAATTCTGGTGTCTTTTGTCAGGAAGCTGTTGCTCGATTCGAGGAAATGAAGAAATCAATGGAGGCTAAAATTGCCCTTCGTCGTAGCAATTTGAATCCGGAAAGGCCTGGTTAGTCTCACTACTACACTTCAGTAGATTCCTTGCTCTATTACTCGCAGGTATATCTGCATTTCATGTGTGAAATATGTGCGAGACTATAAATGGTTACATCTGCTACTTCCCTCCCATTAAGTCATCGCTAACTTTCATTTATTTAATCCACCCATCTATACGAGTAGTGCTGAGAATAAAAGCTAGGTTCGTAGTGCTTCTGATGATTATTATGCTAATAGCAATGTAGTAAGCAAATGATTTGTGTTGTCCTTAAGTATGTGGAACTGGGGGAATTGAAGGAAGAAGAAAGTTTGTAGCATGAGGGCTTTAAATGGAGAAGTCAAACACATTTAGGTAGTGGAAAAGATTATAGGCCTTTGATCTCTTCAAATACCTCATGTTAAGTTCATCTTTGGCATGGACTTCTAGTAAACTAAAGTAGCACGAAGGTTTTGCATCAGAATTCACCTCAACTGTTTAAGGATTGTGTTAAGAACTGATGAATGTCTTCTATTTGTAAGCATGGCAATAATTAATCTTATTGAAACCAGTTTTGATGGGCAATCTGGCTCTAATATCTTGTATGCATTTAGTATTCATACTAGCATGCAGGCAATGATTAATGACTTGGTTTGTTTGAAGGATATGAGTATCCTGTGAAGTTAAATCATATGGAGGTCCCTAGGATGTTTCATCTGTCACTGGCTCTGTCTTTGATTTCTGCTTTAATGTTGTTCATTTCTTTTACTATCATTTCAGACTCAGGGTTTCTCAGGACATTAGATTCTAGCATAAAGCGCAACACAGCAGTTATAAAAAAATTAAAGCAGATAAATGAAGAGCAGAGAGAAGTGCTGACGGAGGACTTGCGAAATGTTAACCTTAGCAAATTTGTCAGTGAGGCTGTAACAGCTATCTGTGATGCAAAACTTAGAAGTTCGGACATACCAGCTGCAGTGCAGGTACCATTTACGTTCCAGATCAAGATTTGTTCTTTCAATTATATTTTCTCTTCCTGTTGTTGACTAAATGAAGCTGTTCTGATATTTCTCTTTGCTGCCAAGATCTGCTCGTTGCTTCATCAACGGTACAAAGATTTCTCTCCAAGCCTGGTACAAGGACTTTTGAAGGTCTACTTTCCTTCAAAATCAGTTGAAGACTTGGATGCAGACAAGAATTCCAGGGCCATGAAAAAACGGAGCACTTTGAAACTGCTTTTAGAACTTTATTTTGTCGGGGTTCTAGAAGACTGCAGTATCTTTATCAGTGTAATTAAAGATCTTGTTAGCTCAGAACACTTAAAAGATCGGGATGCTACTCAAACCAATCTGACTTTGCTTGCTAGTTTTGCGCGGCAAGGGAGAGTGTTTTTAGGACTTCCATTCTCTGGACATGAAATTCAGGAAGAGGTACTGCTTACTCTGAGTTTTAGTTGCTCATTCCGTCTACATCAATTTTCGGGTGCTTTTTTCATTTCTCTTAATCATCATTATCGGGTGCATGAATCTGCCATGGTGCTTCTAACAGATATTTGAGAAATTTAGTCTTTAGGACTTTTGAGTATGTTTTTAGCATCAGGCTACATCCCATTTTTATTCTGTGGCTGATCTGGTAAATTTGTGGCAGTTTGTCAGAGGTCTTAATATCACGCCAGAACAGAGGAAAATATTCAGGAAGTCATTTCAAGCTTATTATGATGCTGTGTCAGAACTTCTTCAATCTGAGCATGCAGTAAGAGTCTTCTGCTTTGGTATCTGAGATGAGGGCTTCTCTGATGTAGTCCCTTTGTTGTTCATTTCTTCCTACAGATACCCAGACTAATTTTCTCATTTGATTATTATTGCAGTCTTCTGCTTTATTAATCTATAAAATGGTTTGATTAGCTTCTTTTTGTCAATAGTCCCTTCGCCAGATGGAGCAGGAAAATGCTAAGATTTTGAATGCTAAAGGGGAGCTAAGTGATGAAAATGCCTCATCATATGAGAAGTTGAGAAAATCATATGACCATTTATACCGCAATGTTTCATCGTAAGTCCTCCCGCCCATGCCATATTATTTGTACATTTTGAGTTTTATGTTCTCCTTTTTGGTATTTTCTGGATACAGTTTAAACATTTTACATAGCATTTGCTAGATACAGTTTAAACATTTTACATAGCGTTTTGACATGTTACACTCTGCATTATGTTCATGTTTTTTGTTTTCTACTTATCACTTGACAATTGATATCGGGAGTCTTTAACTATTGTTAGATTCTTGTTGCTATGTATTTTGTTGTCTTTGAACGAAGAGAAACCGGTCTAGATGGATATTTGTGTTAGTATTTTATAGTTTCTCTTTCACCCTGTTGTTCTTTAACTGCATTGGAATTAATATGAGCTAATTGATGGGATTTAAGCTATTTGAAGGATATCTGAGGCCTTAAGCTGGCCTCTTTACTGAATCAAGTGGCAGGATTGGCGAGGCTGCATATGTCTTTGTGAACATGCTTAGTTCTTTGCATGAAGTGCTTATTCTAAAATGGCATTTGCATAGTTATGTCATGTTGCAGCATAAAGAGTGCCCTACAGTATTCTAGGCGCATTCTGATGCCTATGATTTGCATGCTACTGATTGTAAAATTTGAAGTTAGATGCATTTGGGTCCTGATAAAGT